ATTTGAAACCAATAGAGGCGGCATATGGATTTGATTGATAAATTTTTGGATTCGTGGATTCAAGTGACATCTAAATTTTGGACCATTATGAGAAATTGAAAATTTTGAAAAGGATGGGGGTACTATTATTAAAAAAGGTTTGGGGTACTAAATTGAATTATAAAGAGGTTTAGGTGTCCAAATGTAAATTTTGAAGTACGTTTTTCATTCAAAATTAAATATTGTACATAATGATTAAACTATAATATAATAAAATATAGAGATACTAACCTGTAATTTTTCAACAATCGGTCAATTCGATGCATGAATTCACCAATTTTATATTCGGATAGTTGTGAATTTAAGTGAATTTGTATTAGTATAATTTTTTGATGGATAGATTGAATTGAGTTGACAACAAAGATTCAAATTGTCATCTCGCAGATCCCATTGGCCATTAACCCTAGGCTTATGCAAAGATTTCAATTTCCATTTGTGAAATTCAACATCTTTCCTTTCCATGACCTCCACTAACTCAAATGCGATATTGCATCTTCGCATTTCACCATATATCTATGACCTATCTACCTTTCATTTTCATTGTCCATGAAAGTTAGTCATAAAATACAGGGACGAAGCTAGCCTTAACGAAGGTGGGGCCATGGCCCCCCTAAAATCTTGGAATTACGTATATATGTGTGGGTTAAAATGATAGCGCATAATCAAGTTGCAGTTAGTTTTTTTGGTAGAAGGATCGACGCTATAACGTCTAATTCATATTAATAACTAAACGATCATGGGAGACTCCCACGATGTCGTGACATAGCCAATGACCAAGTTCCATATCGTATACATCGAACAGATGTGTACCAAAATCAACCAGGTGACCTCTGCTAGCGAGAAAGTCGGCAGCAAAATTAGCCTCTCTATACACATGTGAGACTCTCACCTCCCAATCAAATGAGAAAAAGGTAAAACTACCTAGCAATGGTTCCATGTCGATGATTGTCATCCAAGCAGTCTTTAATAATGCTGACAGCAGCAGCCGAATCCAGCTTTAACTCCACCATTTTGAAGCCTCTTTCCCAAGCAATCCTAAGCCCTTCCAAAGCTCCTTTAAGTTCTGCAGTGGTGATTGTGCACTGGCCAAGATTGCAAACAAAGGCTTCCTTGCATCGTCCAAGATGGTCTCTGATGAGTCCTCCTGCAACAGCATTCCCAGAAGGCTGTAGTACCGATCCATCAGCTTGAACTTGAATCCATCCCTCCTCAGGAGCTTTCCACGCGATCTGAATGCTCTGGTAGTTCTTGTCAGGTGGAACAGTAGTGATCAAGTCCCTTTGCTTAGCTTGCTCGATGATATTAAGCCAAGCTCTAATTCGACAGACTAGTCCTTGCTCAGAGAACTTGCTGCCTTCCATAACTTCCTCATTTCTTTGTTTCCAGAGGTTCCAGTAAACAACCCCAAAGTCCACCCCTTTCCCCTCATTGCACAGATTTCCAATGATCCAATCCTCGAAGGGTAGGTTCATATCATGACTATGCAGCTTGTCCTTGAACTTGTGCCAGATACTGCCTGCTTTTCCACAACTGCGCAGGATGTGCTCAACAGTTTCTTCCTTGTCCTTGCAGTAGTTGCAGTGGGGATTTGTCGCAATCTTCCTTCTTGTTCTCTCCCTGTTGGTGAAGAGCTTTTCATGGAGGACCAGCCACAGAAAGTGTTTTATTCTGTTAGGCCTTTTCCACTTCCACAGTTACTTCCAGCTTTGCACAACATCCTCCTCATCATTACTGGCCGCCAGGTAGTATGCAGACTTCAAATGAAACCTGCCATCACGTTCCAGGACCCAGATCATTTTATCCTCTCCAAGTTCGGGCTTTGGAGTTTCCATTCCTGCAATCAGAGAGAGAACCTCATCAGGGAGCAGAGAATGCAGTCTTTCCCAGTCTTACTCACCTGAGGGGTGAACCCAGTAAGCCACAGGTGTGTCCATATCATCCATATTAGGCTCTCCAATGATAAAGTTCTCAAGCACCAGGTCATTCTCAATCCATGGATGCCTCCGGAATGAGGTTGTCTCTCCATTTCTAATGCTCCAGCATGAGCCCTCCTTCATAAGTGGCATAGCCTGCACAATAGCTCTCCAAAGACTTGAATGGTTAGTCTTTTCATGAATGTGATCTCACCATTCCTGTGTTTAAAATATTTTTCTTGAAGGACCTGAACCCACAGAGCACTTTCATATTAAAGATTTGCCAGGCCAGCTTAATCATAAAATCTTTGTTCAAACAATGAGCAGATCTCAACCCCAGTCCCCCTTGTATCTTAGGTTTACAAATTGTATCCCATGAGAAAAGGTTGTGCTTTTTTTTTTAGGTTTACAAATTTCATTATTAAAGATTTTCCTGGCCAGCTTAATCATAAAAGCTTTGTTCAAACAACAAGCAGATCTCAACCCTAGTCCCCCTTGTATCTTAGGTTTACAAATTGTATCCCACGAGACAAGGTGATGCTTTTTTTTAACCATCCTGAGACCCCCAAACAAATCTCCTAACCTTTCTATCAATCAGATCACACAGTGAGTGGGATTGGGGTGGTCTGCATAGCATAAGTTGGGATAGCATTTAGGACAGAGGTTGCCAAGGTCACTCTCCCAGCTAGAGAAAGTGTTATGGCTTTCCAGGTAGTTAAACTCCTATCAATCCTATCAATAATGTACTTATAGGTATTCTTGGTGATTCTTCCATGGAGTACAAGAACCCCAAGGTACCTACCAAGGTCATTGGTTTCCTGGATACCAAGCCTAGAACAGATTGAGTGTCTAGGAGCCTGAGAAACATTCTTAGAGAAGTAGGCTCTCGATTTCTCTTTGCTAACAAGTTCATCTGAAGCAAGACAGAAGGACTCCATACATTTCATAACCACATCAGCTTGAGCAGTGCTAGCATGGGAGAACAAGACTAGGTCATCAGCAAAAAAGAGGCAAGAGAGGGAAGGGCCACCAGTAGACAGAGAGACAGGTTTACATTTCCCTTCTCTAACTTCCTTAAGGATGCAATGATTCAATCTTTTAATACATAAAGTGAAAAGGTAAGGGGAAAGGGGACATCCCTGATGAAGACCTCTTGAAGGAGTGAAGCTTTCAGTTTGTCCACCATTCCACAACACCTGGAAAGAAGTAGTAGTAACACAGGCCATGATCATTCTAATGCAGTCCACAGGTAAGTGAGCCGCAGTCAGGGTTTCTTCAAGGAACTTCCAGTTGATCCTGTCATATGCCTTTGCAAGATCCACCTTCAGCAGCATGCTCCCTTTCCTTCCAGTTCTCCTGGACATGGAGTGAACAGTCTCCTGAAGAATAATGATAATGTTAGTAATATGTCTTTTGGGAACAAAACTAGATTGGTTAGGCAATACAAGATGGGGCATTAGATTCTTCAGCTTGTTGGCTATGCTCTTAGCCACCACCTTGTAGCCTACGTTACACAGACTGATAGGTCTAAAGTGGTTGATAGATGAAGGGGCATCCACTTTAGGTATCAGATCTAGGAGAGTTTCATTAATGCTATGGATTCTCCCTGGGTTCCTGTAACAAGTAACAATGAATTGAAAGAAGTCCATCCCTACAGTGTTCCAACATTTCTGGAAGAAAAGAGCATGAAAACCATTCTTCCCGAGAGCTTTGAGGCCATTCATTTCCATTATTATGGATTTGATTTCCTCAATTGTTGGGAGCCTCCTAAGAGGGTGCATTCTGCTCTCATCAATGTCACGGAAACTGGCTGGGATAGAGTTCCTGCAATCAGTACTCTCATCAGTAAACAGCTCAACAAAGTGGGTCCTAGCCGTCTTCTGAAGCTCATCTGGATCCATGACCCATTGTCCCTGGTCATTGAGGAGAGCAGTGATCTAATTCCTCTTCCTTCTGCTAATGGTGCAGTTGTGGAAATAGCTAGTATTCATGTCTCCCTTTGTAACCCAAATTGCCCTTGATTTCTGGTTCCACAGCATCTCTTCCTGCCATAGAGTGCTTTCAAGTTCTTCTCTAGTTTCCTATTCCTTCTCAAGTGAGCTCCTGGAAGGTTTCCTCTGGTTCAACATTTTAAGGGATTTCAGGGAGTGAAGAAGCTCCCTCTTTCTGCAGCTCTCTTGAAAGATCCTGTAAAGAGAAGAGAAACTCATAGCCATTTTTCCAAGAATTTGCAATAAAGGGAAGGAACTCTTTATGATCAAGCCAGGAAGCCAGGAAATGGAATCTCCTCACCAATTTCTCCTTTCCACGCTCAGGGGAGGTGACAGTGAGGATTGGTCTGTGGTCAGACTTCAGTTTGGGGAGGTGAATCACACTTGTAGCTGGAAACTGCTGTTGCCAAGCCAGATTGCAGAGGCTTCTGTCAAGTCTTTCTTTTATCCTATTGGCATTGGAAAACCAGGTGAAGTGGGGACCTGAGTAACCCAAATCAATAAGTCCACATTCATCAATACAGTCTTTGAAGCCTCTGGTTCTTGCAAAGCTGAAAGGGGAGCCTCCTTGCTTCTCTAAGGGGCTGATGATGGAGTTGTAATCGCTAGTCAGCAGCCACGGCAGGTTAATGCCTCCCTCCATTCCTTTCAGAAGACTCCAAAGATCACATCTGTCATGCTCATTAGGACTTGTGTAAATAGCAGTCAGAAGGAATCTATCTTGTCCTCCAATGGCACATCTCAGGTGGAGAATTGTTTATGTTTATCCACAGCATCCAGCTTTTGGCTACTGCTGTTCCAAAGAACCCAGATACCTCCATTGAACCCCACTGCCTCGGACACTTTAAACGAGTCAAAGCCAAGGGCTTTGATGACCTTGTCAGCCTTCTCTCCACTAATTCTAGGTTCGAGAATGCAGACAATATCAGGGTTAACGTTAACCCTATACAACTGAAGAGTAGCACGAAACTTGGAGTGCTTGGCACCCCTGCAATTCCAGGAGAGAATCTTAACCATAGAAAGGTCGAGGGCTTTCCTGACGACCCAGTGGTCCAAATTATCTTTGGTCAACGGCCATTGTCGTCCCCTGCTCCCCTGGCACACTGTTGACAGTATCCCCTAGGGCATTAGCATTCTCTGGCACTGGCCTCCTTTCTTCCTGTTGAGGTCCAAATTCGATTTTCCTCGGCTTCCCAATCCCACCACTTGGGGTCTTAGGTATTTCCTTGGGGAACATTCTTTCATCATTCCCCATGGTCATCTTCTTCATTTTTGGTTGATGACCTGTGTTAGCATCCAATGAAGGCCCTTTACTACTCCCTTTCTTGCTTGTTTCCTGAGTTGACTTGGATCCATTATGCTTACCTTGTTTAGGGGTGGCAGCAGGAGAAGCAACAATGGTAGATGGATTTTCCACTTCCTTTTGCTTTTGGTTAGCATTGTTTATTCCTCCCTGGGAAACAGGAGATTTGGTAGCCTGCTTGATGGGTTCAGGGATGGCTTTTTGGTTATCCTTCCTCATTTGTTCTTTGTTAGCATGGTTCTGGATCCTGCCCTCTATACCCTCACTTTTGCTCTTCTCCTTCTTCCCTTGCTTCTTCTTCTCGTGTTTATTTTCCTGTTGTGCTGCCTTAAGATTCTCTTTTGGAGTTTCCATTTGTGTTGCCCTGCCATATTCCTCACTAGCATAGGGCCCGACCCGTTGGCCGGAAGAATTTTGTTGAGAAATATGGTATCTAATAATGGATATAATATATGATTTGATATACACGAAATGATTGTTTTCTACCTTAGTTATGCACATTATATTTTTAAAAGTGATCTAACAATGATAATGTGTTTTGACCTTCATGAAAAGATAAAAAAAATATAGTATAAACATTACATATAATTATTGAATGAAAAAAATATAACTAATTGTCATTCATTACTTAATTAAACCATACAGTTGAATATTAACGTTGCTTCTCATAATACATACAAAGTCAACCTTTAGGATGATAGAATGTCTCATAGAGTTTAGTATGTCCTTTAAGTTTTTCCCAATAGAGAGCATTTTTTTACCACACTGTTGGTAATGAATCTGAAGTTGCTTGATTTGAAATATATAGGACACGATCCTAAGTTGTCGCTAATAGTTAGTTGGACAATGTGTTGTGTACAAACTTCCCAAATTATTCTCAGATCGAAGACATGTCTAGCAAAATTGTAGTAACTTTCATGTTGCAAATATTTTTTATGAAATAATTCAATAAATAAAAACGTATAAAAATAATTTTACATGAAATATATGTTACTCATTAAGTTGATGAATGAGTAAGGGTATGAGTAGCATACATTTATTTTAAAAGATAAAGTTCCAAAGTGTTTTTTGGGTTGCAAGAGATTGCATATTCTCATTATCGCAAACTGACTTATAATTTTTTGCAATAGATAGTTTAGAATGTGTCTTAAATTTTTTTGTTTCCACCAGTGTAAAAGAATTGTTTGAACCAAAGGATTGTAAAATTGTATAGAAAAAGTTGATAGTAGAGTATTTTATACTGAAGTAGTAATTTAACTGTTGTTCAACCATTTCATGCATATTACTAAAAATCACATGTCTATTTAGCCTATGATGTGAAGTTTTATGGTCTAACCGCCGGTACGTATGATCTTTCAATACAAACTTTAAATAAAAAATCACTAAAATATTGACATTATCAAATAACCTTTAAATCTCATAAATTACAATAATCAATAATCGTACTAATGAAAAAATCTTCCAAATGATAATATGGATTTAGGATTTTAAATTAAAATGGAAAAATGTGTCAAATATATTGTCATCTCCTAAAATAAATTAAAACTCAACAGAATAGGCCCAAGAATATTCACTAATCAAAGTAGAAGGACAATTATTTCACACTACCTCATTTCCTCTTTTTTTAAATGTGTCCTCTCACTTTCATTTTGCTTTCCTCTTTGTTATTCCATTTGTTCTTCCATCTGTCTCTCTCAACTTTGTATTTCACCACTCTCCCCCTTTTCCCTTCCTCTTTGTACCCACCACCTGGAATTGAGAGAAACCTAGAAACATCCCAATTAGGCAATTACTTCTCCAATTTTACGTTCGAAATGCTTCTTCTCCATTCACAGTCGATAGTGTGATTCAGAGCACCTGCAACCTGGCGAAAAGATGATCGCTTATCATCGACGGAGCAAAGTAGCTTGATAGCTTGTGAATAAATTAATTATTAAAAGTGATAAAAAGCAGAACTCGTTAAACCGATCGAATGAGTGTATAGTTAGTTCGACGGCTTAAAGCCTTAAACCATTCTATTTATCTAAAGAATCAAAATGCATAATCAGGTTCATCTTCACTTTACATGTATTTGTCGTATCAATCCATAACACATAAAAAATGGTTTTGAACCGACGCCATATCCAACAAAATCTTATCTTATGATTATTGAATCCATGTCAGATTAGCAAAAGGTCTAAGGCTATTGGTTAACCAGGCTGAAAATAAATACCAATTTAAGAATTATATATCACTTCCAAAATGTTCAGTACTCCAATTCAATATGCAATATTCAATATTCAAATAAATGATATATGAGTTTCAACCATTTCTCAAATTTTTTAGACAAAAAAAAATCTCCCCCTCACACACATTTGCAAAGAAATACTAAATCAGAATTTCTTCATCACTTTACTTGCTTCCAAATTTATTGTTGACGTTGTTTGTAATTACTGCAAGCTGTAAAAAAGACTTTTCAACTATGAAGTTAATCAAGAATGATTTTATAAATGAATTTTTAGTTGTATACATTGAAAAAGGTTTGAGTCTCAAAATAAACAATGAATGTATTTTATAAACCTTTTAGAATATGAGCGTCACACGTTGATGTGAGACACTACTCATTAATTCAAATTTTATATGTTATTTTTAGAAGATTTATTTTTATCAAATGGCGCATTTTTCCATAAAACATGAGTTCACCAATATAGTCTGTGTGGTGCTCGCACTTTTGCGCGAGCCCTTGAAGTTTAAGTCTGGTACGACCCATGAAGCATTCATGTTTGTATATGCTCGATCCATATACATTGTCTTCATGGTATGCTCTAACTGTGTCGTGTTAGCTCGACCATGTGTCTAGGTATAGACTGTATAGTTATATGAATTATAATAATTAAGTTTCTACTTATTCACAACACCAAGATAAAAACAATCATCGATGCACCCAGTATTCGATTTTTGACTACCTGATGAATACTACAACGGATGTCACAAATAATAATTATACTTATAACTCATACATAAAATATTTAATACATCACAAATATTAAGATTAAATTAATTAGTATAAAGAGTAAAAATTGTATAATGAGGTTAATTATAACTCATTTATATGTTAATGCGCTATAAATTGATCAACACATCCAATCCAAAATTGAGAAAATTGGCATCACATTAAACTTGATATCATCTCATTATTGTCAGGTCCATTCATGCTCGATTAGCAAGAGTTTAATGTCTAGCAGTTAACCACGCCAAAATTTTAGAGAACCAATCACTTATAGTTTGTACAAAATATTATTGTTTCGTATTAGTTCTGAAAATTTATATTAATTTAAAGAATTCCACATCGCTTTTACATATTCAATATGAAATATTTCAAACAATGAAATTTGTGTTGCAATTTTAAGATTACCCGTCATTTTATAGGTTATAAAAATTATGAATCACATATTAAACTTTGCTTTTCAGAAGATTTAATAGGCTAGCTAACCGTGAAAAGTCCTATGCTTTTCAAATCTTTGCTTAGTGCATGTTTAAAATTTAAGAAGATAAAACAAATTTGTTTAGTGTAATATATCTTATAGAAAGAACTTCTTCAATCAAGTAGTAAAGGTATTTTACCGATTCAACGAAGAAAAAAAAGGTATTTTATCTGAAATTATTATATCTTATAGAAAGTGATTAATTGTGAAATCAGAACTCAAGTAACATTGATTCTAATAGAAAATAATAAATTGTATGTGTGGTTCAATTTAGACAAAATACATATGTGTAGCCAAAATATTTTTTTATAAGAAATGTGTAGCCAAAACATGGATCTTTGTGACAAATATAGTAATTTTTTAGTCACAAATCTACACATAATATAAAGATAAATTGGGCACTGTGACGAAAAAAGAGCTTCCTAGAATCACTCTCAGGCCACGAAATTTGAAATGAGACTCTCAATTTTCAATTTTATCATTAAATTATGTGTAGATTTGTCACAAAAAAATATGATTATACTCATCACAAAGGTCCATGTTTTGGTTACACTTCTGTATTTTGTCTAATCTAAACAACACATACAATTTAATATTAATGTTTGAATAAACACTACTTGAGTTCCGATTTCAGAACTAATCTCTTTATATAAAATATAAATAACTTAAGATAAAAATATATATATATAGAAACATCGACACCATACATATTTCTACAGTTTAATCAAAGACTTAAGAATAAACAAAATGTAGTCTAGTTGGTTACAATGTTATTTCTTCATTTAAGTGACCAAGGTCGAACTCCAATGATAACATTTTTAATAATATATAAACATGAACTGAGTGTAATGACAAAAGTGACCTTCCTAGAATCATTCTCAATCCACGAAATTTGAATGGGAGAATTCTAGCCCATGTTTTGCCTTTATGTATCTTCTAGATTCTGATTCTGGTTTGTGTTCATCTCCTCCACATTTCCTCCCCTTCATTAGTACCATCAACTTCCCTATCTAGGACGCTGAATCTTGATCCATTCTCCGTATCAGTTCTCAGTGGGAGGTTCTCATTTCCCTTCACCTCCCCCTTCTTGTTCTTCATTGGGTTTCCCTTGCGCTTTGGTCTGGTTGCAAGCATCCATGGGCCAAAATCCTCAAGGATTTCTGGTCGGATTTCCTGGTTAGAGCCAGGATTCTTGTTCGCAGGACTCCTCTCATTCGGGCCAGTATCCGCTTCAGCTTTCCTTTGGGGGCAATTCTCAGTAGTGTGACCATAGTGGCCGCACTCATAGCAGACAATATGCAACCCCTCATATTCAACTCTCCTCACTCTTCTCTTAATCCTGTACTTAGAAACCAGTCGTTTCCTGAGATCAATTTCAACGCAGATGCGAGCATAGATCCCCCTGAATCTGTTGGCAGTGTTATAATCAATCTTCTCCACCCTTCCAAGCTTATTCCCTATGTCCAGGAAGATTTCCTCATCAAAGTAAGCGAGAGGAAGGCGGGAAAGTCTTACCCAAACTGAGGTTTTGTCAATTGTGTCGAAGTCCGGATCGAAATCCAATCTCCATGGTTCGGCAGCAATATAATGGTCTTCAGTTGTCCACGGCCCTCCGTAGAGAGCTCTGTCATGGTCAATCTGCGAATCAAATGTTGCTTGGAAATATCCATTTCCAATGTCTCCAACCTTCATTCCCCCTGTTTTGTCCCACATTCTCTGGACTCGCCTGTGAACGAAGGCGAAAGGGAATGTCTTCCCCAAGGTGCGAAACGTGATGGCTCTTCTACAACGGTTGCAAATGATCGCGTTGGTGCGCTTCTTGATCCTAATCGTCGGGCAGTCCGGATCATCCTCGCCATCTTCTCTGTTGGACTCATCCAACATCAACTCGTCACCCTCCGGGATATCCATCGGTGGGCTGTTTCGAAGGAAGGAGTCTCTATAGGAGGCTTTCCCTGTTCCCGATTCTGGAACCGCCTCTGCAGCCAGTGGATCTTCAACTTGTTGTAGCTCTGTATCCATTTCCTCTTCATAAGCCCTCGCAGTCACCACTGAGATCGTTTCCATGTCGTTCTGCCCTGAGAATTCTGTGCTAGAGCTCGCCTTTGCCTTCTTGCTGGCTTGGATCGGCGATGTCGACGGTGAGTCGTCCGACGGTTTGAGACAGTGATCCCCCCTGTTGGGGGGGAGCTTCCTCAACGATCATAAACGTTCAAAAAATCAAGGGGAAAAGGGGGAGAGAGGGGAGAGCGTTTCCTCTCTCTAATTTCTCTCTCTCAAACTTCTCTCTTTTATCCAGTCCATAGCTTGCAGTTAGTTGATTGACCGAGTTAATCATTAATTATTAAACTAATAGATAACAAGTTCCACCCACAGTAGCACCTATATATACGTGTCTAATCCTTCAGTTTCCAATTTTCTTCTATGTTCATCATTTAATGTGTTCTTGTTTTTTATGTTTGCCTTTTCTTCTATAAAAAAAATGTTTGCATTTTCTCAAAAATAACAACATTATATACATATAATGATAACGATATAATTTAAAAGGTGTAGTGTGTACAAGAATTGTTATATCTCTCTCAAGTATTCAATTTTATGCTAAATCAAAATATTAATCTTGCATAATTTTTCAGTTGACCAGCCATTTTAAGCGAGGAAATCGTGTATGGTTAAGAAAACAAAAATAGTGTTGATATAATCCCATGACTTGGAATTTTGAATATAGCAGGTGTAAAATTAGATAAATAAATATCATTGATCGTAAAATATTGTAAGACTGTACCATATAATAATTCAGGAGACAAATTATTCAAATTTGCATGCAAAAATCTAGTCTATTAATGATAAGTTATCAATAAAATCCTGCCACTTCAATTTTATACATGATTTATTTGGTACGACCAATTAATACGATACAAATTCAGATTCTGAGTTTGTTGTCTTCCCTGACAGGCTCTTGGTACATCCTCAGGACATCACGAAGCTGAAGCTATTCGTTTAAGTAGAGTCTCAGTCTCCCATATGTTCGTCTTCCATCCGATCTTCAATCCTACATTACAAGGAAATAGACATATGGCAGCAGTTTACTACCAGCCATTCCCGTAACCCCTGCCACAATTACAAAATGTATATTCAGCGACAGTCCTATCCAGCGGTTCTAATAACCGGTCCTTTTTTCTTGCTAAATTAACCGATTCCTTTTCTTTTAGGGGAAATCGTTAATGATTTGTAGGCTTGGCAATGGGTCGGATACGGGGCGGGTACCCCATATCCATTGCCCGCTATATATGCCCGCGGGTAAAACTCGGACCCGCCCCATTAACCTTAATGGGCAAAAACTTTGGACCAAGCCCAAGACCAAACAGGTATCGGTGAACCCACGGGTCATTGGTTACCCGTGACCTGTCCAGAAATAGAAGCCAACCAATTTCAATTCATTCACTAAGCATTACCTGAATTTCCGAAAACCAAGTTCTTATAACATTCAACAAGAAACCATGAACTGCAAACCCAGAAACCTTCTCAAAATCAACAATCCGACCATAAATAAACCCAAAAATAAGAATCACTCAAACCCAGAATTGAAACCCACAGAGTCAGAGTGTAAAAAAATCCCAGCTAACAAACAACCATGAACTGCGGTATGCAAACCCAGGAACCTGACTCAAAATCAACAATCCGACCATAAATAGACCCAAATATAAGAATCACTCAAACCTAGAATTGAAACCCACAGAGTGTAAAAAAATATCAGCTAACAAACTTCTGAAATAACACTGCGAGTCTGAAAGATTGAAACACAAAAAACAAAAACAGAAGCCATTCTGAAGAGCAACAATCAGTGTTGAATCTTCACTCCTAAGTCTCTCTTTCGCGTCCTTGCATCTTCTTTCAATGAGATTAAGATTTCCTGAATTCCAACAACATTTACAACTTCAGATTACTATGTTCTGCAAGGCTTTAGTAAAATTCCAGCAGTAGCAAAGCTTTAAAAGTAAAAAAAGAAACAGAACACACTTACATACACCAATAGCTAGTCGAGCAGGTTGACTGCAGCAACCTCATCTTCATCTCCTTCCAGCTCCTTTTGCATTCCAGCTTCATCTGATACATAATAGTCTGTTTAGTAAAATTCCTAGGCGAACTGAATAAACAAATTACAACAAGAGAAGTTTATTACATGTGCTCTCTTCCACCGTGGCATCATCCATTGCCTTAGCAGAGAAAACTCCCTCCAATGCTTTCAATTCAGCAGCATACACTAGGAGCAGTAGCAAGATTCAAGTAAACAGTTTAATTAGCAAGAAAATGAAACAATAGCAAAGTAAACATAATTCATAATTGAACTACAAAAAAAATCACCTTTGCTATCATCCTGAATCCAAGTCCTTAATATCATTATGGCTTCTATTGTTGCAGGATCAAGTCTGCTCCGATGGGGATCAAGAAGCCTCCCACCAGAACTGAAGGCAGATTCAGATGCCACACTAGTAACAGGTACATCAAGTAAGTCCCTTGCAATATTTTGCAAAATGGGATACTTGGCACCGTTGAATTTCCACCAACCCAACACATCAAAATCCGGTGTTCTAGGATGAACATCCTCAGCTAGATAATGATCTAACTCGGTGGTTACTGCAGAAATTTTGGTTTTCTTTCTTTTGCTAACATACAGATCAAAATCCAGATCTGTAGCCGAAGAAGAAGGATGAACAGAAGAAGATGCAGCAGTGTTTTTGGTGGCTTTTCTTTGATACTCAACAACCAATTCGGCCATAACTGATCTGACCCTTTCACTCACTAGATCAGTATTAGTGATACCGAATTTTCCAGCATAGTAATCAACCAGTTCCAATTTATACCGTGTATCCAATACAACAGCAACAGCCAACAGTAAATGAATGTCATCCCAATACTTCACAAACTTATTCCACATATTCCCAGCCATAGAAACAATCAGTAGATTAGGATCACTTAACCATTCCATCAACTTTAACCTCAAATCATACACTTTAGCAAAAAACCGATTCGCTGTTGGGTAGTTTGAACCACAAAAAACTAAAGTGATGTCCTTGAAAACATCAAGCTTGTCAACCAAAACAGCAGCAAAGTCCCACTGCTCGTTGGTAGGCAGAGAATTATATTGAGGCTCTCTTGTTTTCAGTATAGAGAACACTTCCTTATACGGGATAGCACAAGAAAGCATCTCGTAGGTGGAATTCCAACGAGTGGGACAATCCAATACCAACTTCTTAGAAACAGATAATTTGAGTTGTTGGGCAGTTGCATGGAAAAACCCCACTCTCCTGGGAGTGCAGGTCCAAAAGACCACACTCTCCCTTATTTTCTCAATACCATCTTTCAATACATCGAGTCCATCCCTCACAATCAGATTAAGGATGTGAGCAAAGCACCTCATATGAAGAAGTGTGCCATCCCTAATTAGATTCGATAACACTAGCCTTTGTTTAATTAGATTTATCATGGAATCATTGGTAGTACAATTGTTAAGAGTAATAGTTGACAATGTACTATCAATGTTCCAAGATCGGAGGCATTGAGCTAGCTTTGCAGCCATCCTCTCACTAGTGTGGGGGGCAGGGAAATATCCAAACATAAGCAGATGGTTTCGCAACTTCCAAAAGTTGTCTATATAATGGGCAGTGACAGCCATGTAAGACCTTTTTTGGTTTGTGGCAGTCCACATGTCAGTTGTGACAGCTATACGACCTCGGTTTTCATCAATGACCTTTTGAATCTTAGCCCTCTTTAAACCATAAATACTAACTATATCCTTCTTTATGGTATTTCGGGTTGGAACTTTGAAGAGAGGGTTCAAGGTGCAACAAAACCTTTTGAAATAAAGGTGGTCAACAATAGAAAGGGGATACTCATGCACCAAGATCATGGTGCAGAGCTCCTTTCTAGAGACCTCGCTACTAAACTGATTCGTACTCAGATCAGCTGTTCCCTTGGCACTATAGTCAGCCCCAAGGACCTTTTGACTACCATCATGAATTTTTTTATGAACACAACCAATGCAGTTAAAAGCGCGATTCTACCTAGAAGCGGAAAATGGGTAAAATCGTAAAACGTAGAATCAAAGCGTAAAAGCGTAAGTTTTTGACGCGCCCTCTAAAATAGCTAAACTATGTTAAGTACCACATATAGTATGTAAAATGTGAGTGTGTAGATTTTAGATAAGTGAATAACTACATGAAATTCATAATTAAAATGTAATATCTAACACATAAACTAATTTGTGTTGACTCAAAAGTAGAGAAAACTCATAACATCTTAATAATAAGCTCATAAACGTAGATCGTACCCGTAAACAAGCTTGAGAATCCAAATTCTCATAAGCTGGTTTGATTTTACATAATTACATACGATCAATTACTCATAAAGGGAGAAGACTGGTAGAAGGTCAGCGGCTATTGACAATATCATTAGGTGTCTTTTCAACCTAATGTGAAGCCCCTATCTCAACATTAGTTGTAGAACGAGTGATGAATCATGTTTTTATTTTTTTTTATTTTTTGCTGATATGTCTCCAAAATTACATCATTTTGGGCCAATTAGCACATTTTTATGAGATGAACAAAATCGTATAAAAACGCTTCAGAATCGCGATTTTACCGATTTTAAGCGATTTTACCGATTTTACCCATGTTTTTACCAGTTTTTGTGACTAAGCGACTTTAGGTAGAAACTGAAACGTTTTGGTGGCCTGGATACGTAAAAACGTAAGTTTTTACGTTTTAATGCGCGATTTTGACTACACTGAACACAACGATTCCTAAGAGTCCTAAGATGGGAGGTACCATTACTCGATTTTCCAGCCAAAATCTTCTTACAATTGTTGAATCAAGTGTGACAGGTATGGCTCTTACGAGGTATGGCTCTTACGAGTTTCTTGTGATGCCATTCGGTCTCACCAACGCACCAGCCACGTTTTGCACTTTGATGAATCAAGTGTTCGAGCCATTCTTGGACCGGTTTGTCGTGGTCTACTTGGATGACATCGTCGTGTATAGCAAAACACTCGATGAGCATGCCGAGCATCTACGCCAAGTCTTCCAAGTCCTTTGCGACAACGAGTTGTACGTCAAGAGGGAAAAGTGCACATTTGCCGCCACGGAGGTTCCATTCTTGGGGCACGTCATTGGTGGAGGCAAGTTGAAGATGGATGGAGCGAAGGTGCAGGCAATCCAAGAATGGGAGCCGCCGACAAGGGTGCCAGAGTTGCGGTCATTCCTCGGCCTTGCCAACTACTATCGGAGGTTTATCAAGGGCTACTCCAACATTGGTGCCAGAGTTGTGGTCATTCCTCGGCCTTGCCAACTACTATCGGAGGTTTATCAAGGGCTACTCCAACATTGCAGCACCCTTGTCGGCGGCTCCCATTCTTGGATTGCGTGCACCTTCGCTCCATCCATCTTCAACTTGCCTCCACCAATGACGTGCCCCAAGAATGGAACCTCCGTGGCGGCAAATGTGCACTTTTCCCTCTTGACGTACAACTCGTTGTCGCGAAGGACTTGGAAGACTTGGCGTAGAACATCACTGGAATCCTTTTTAACATTTCTGTTTTATCTTCCTTTTGATCAGATGGAACGTGAACAAATTGAGACTGCAGCAGTTCAGAATAACAATGGAGAACAAGTACTTCCTCCTCCTGGTAATTCTGAAAACCTTACTGAAGATGCTCTTCCCCAAAATCCCTTAGGTGCTAGTACTTGCTTTCAAAACCCCATTAATTATCAGTCTGGTGAAATGAGGCCACACATCAGACTTTAAGCACCTACTAGCACCTAAGGGATTTTGGGGAAAAGCATCTTCAGTAAGGTTTTCAGAATTACCAGGAGGAGGAAGTACTTGTTCTCCATTGTTATTCTGAACTGCTGCATTCTCAATTTGTTCACGTTCCATCTGATCAAAAGGAAGATAAAACAGAAATGTTAAAAAGGATTCCAGTGATGTTCACGAAATCAGAGTTCAACCACTTTTCTATTCTGCAATGATGATTGAATCCTCTCTAAAAGGGATTCGATCATCAGCACGACAAAACATCATGGTTAATCAGTAGCCTACTTGTTTTAGTTGGGATTTTGATGCATTAGATAATTTACAGTTTACAAAGTTTTTAGGATTAGCTCAAACAACTCCAAGTAGTGATCATTAGCATTTTCACATTTCGAACTTAGCTACAAGAACAAACATCGAACTTAGCTATCAACCATTACCATTACCATTACACAGCCTTCTTACACAACCATGAACCATTACACAGACTTCTTACACGAAGCATTCAAATATTCCAACATCAGAATCACACTAAGCATTACCATTTAGCAAAATGACTCTGATCAGTAGACACTACACACTAGTAATAGTACTATGTTTGCTTTAAGGTGATTACCATATGAATTCACTAAATTAGGTTAAAAACATTACACAATAAACACCAACACCCAAGAACCATCAAACAAAGGATCGTCGATTTACCTCAGCAACAAGCAGTTGAAGCACCACTTGCTTGATGAGACTCACGAACAGAAATCTGCAAAAACAAAGAGTAGATTTTGTATGCTTAGCGATTTAGTGTTTCTAACGAACTAAGAAAGCACTAACAACAAACAATTAAACTAATTAAGGTCTACCAAACTTACTAAGAATGCAGGAAAGGGGGAGTTCGATTTCTAGAAACTAGGGTTTCGAGATTTAGGGTTTGATGAACTGCAGATAAACAAAATGATGAAGTTAGTGAACTATTTATACACATATTAGAAAAAATTGGGTTAAGTAAAGAAAGAATTGAATACTTATCTCGATATTCTGGGAAACAAATCGTCTGCATGCACGACTCGAAGAGCATTTCCGTCGATTGAGACATTTTAGGTGACTGGGGGCTTGATTGAGGGTTAGATTTAGGATTATAAGTGACGGGATTGTCGATTTACAAGGAAAAACAGTAGAGAAAGTAGGAGAAATCGTCGGCATCGATAGATTTGGTCGACTTCGGCGATTCGCCTTGACAGAGTTGAGAGAAAATTGGGGAGGAGGGCGGCTGGGAGTTTGTGAAAATGAGGTCTCCAAACCCTAGCCCTAAAATTGAAGATTATATATGCGCATAAAACGACATCGTTTTGAGTTTCGGGGTGGATACGGGGCGGGGAACGCTGAATCCGTCCCCAGCCCGTCACCGAGCTTCGCGGGCCGCGGGTTTACCCGTCACCGCCAGCATAAAACGACATCGTTTTGTGTTTCGGGGCGGATACGGAGCGGGGGACGCTGAATCCGTCCCCAGCCCGTCACCGAGCTTCACGGGCCGCGGGTTTACCCGTCACCGCCACCAGGCCCGTCTTCGCGGGTTTCAGCCCACCACAGTCGGGCGGGGCCTGTTGGATGCCCATGGCCCGCGGGCCCATTGCCATCCCTAATGATTTGGATTAAAATGTAATTAAAACTTCAAGAAAGTTCAAAAGGCTTGGTCTCTCACAAAAAAAACAGAACTTCCCGTTTCCTTCCCCACTACCTTGTTCTCACGAAAATAAATCCCAACCCTAATAACATTGCCTCAACCCTTTCCCCCCTACTTCGATATCTCCATTAAATTCGACAATTCCTTCGCCGCCCGTATGATCGTCAGTCATGAGGGTAATGTAGGTCATTTTCACTTCATGCACACAAATCTAATTAACCAAATCCATCATAAAATCAATGAAACAAACAATGGTATTTTACAAGTCCATAATGAACCCAAAACATCATATATTCATGGTTTTACAAAACCCAAGTTTTACCGAAACCTTCATTTTTCAAATCCATTAAACAAACGACCCATCAATAAGGCCCCGATGAGTGATGACGGCAAGCTCGCCGTCGTAGAGTACTAGCCTTAGCTGCTTTGTATGTTCTTTTTTCAATATAAGTTTACTATTTTTATTGAATCATACATATGTAGACCTGTTCATTAAGATTATTTTAATGAAATAATATGTTTAAATCGATTAAACCATAAATATAAACCACTCATTACACGAGCACTTCTACTATGCTATATAGTATTGGTGCTTTAATGTTCAACTTAAAGTTGTACCATAACATTAAATGTATAAGTTTAGGTTGTACCATAAAGCAATTTATACTATTATGTTATGGTACAACTTTACAACTTGCTATAGGTTTTTGCCTTTATGGTACAACTTAAAATTGTACATTTATGTTATGGTATAATTTCAGATTGTACCTATACTGTTTGTACAAATTCTTTTATGGTACAACTTGAACTTGTACCTTTATGTGATGGTAATTGTTACCATCACATAAAGGTACAAGTTCAAGTTGTACCATAAAAGAATTTGTACAAACAGTATAGGTACAATCTGAAATTATACCATAACATAAATGTACAATTTTAAGTTGTACCATAAAGGCAAAAACCTATAGCACCAATACTATATAGCATTGTAAAATTTCTCCTCATTACACTGGTACATACTCTGTACAATTTCAATAACATTGCTCAAAGCAAGTCTAATGAATCCATTTCAGTTCCTCATCTAATTGACCCCTTGCTCTTTAAATGAACCACTCCACGACGCCAATGCCAAGTTGCACAAAATCTGAAGCTGCTTTCTTTGCGTGCAAAAAGCTGCGTCGGAGAAGTCGGGTATACCAACTTTGTTTAAAGTGGCTACTGACTATTCACCTTAATTCTGATAAAAGTAACCTAAATGCAAGTTACTGACTCAAAGGCGACATTAACACTTTTCAGTATGTATACTAGCAATAGCATCATCACCCTCGATCGAGAGGCTCATCCTTTTGGAAACTTATGAAACCTCGATTTCATTGGCTTTATAGTTTATACCATCAAACTACGTCGCCTTTATACAACCCAGCTTACTTTCTGTGGTTATGGTTAGTTTAATTTATATCTGAAGATGGATGAGAGATTGGAGACTTCAAATGAATAGCAAAATTTTTTAGGACAAAGATAATTGTAAATTAGCTTTCTGATCGAGCACCCATCAATAATGATGCCAAATATTGGCAATGGGCCGACCAGGGTAACTCAATATCTAAATTTGCTTTGCATTAATAAATTGTTGTGAATATTAATGAATTATTTTTACTGATAAATTTATGGGTTAATTGCATGGTTGGTCACTAAGATTACAAAAAATGTTCAAGTTTGGTCACTTGAAATATTTAAATCCATTAGTGGTATTTCAGTTTACTGAAACCGTTCACGTTTGATTACTCTCCCTCTAACTCCGTTAACTTTTGCTTATGTGGCGGTCAACTCTAAAAGTTAACCGTTAAATGTGTGACGTGGCAATTTAAAAATAATAAAAATAATAAAATTACATTTTTCAAAATTGCCATCTCATTTCCACCTCATTATCACTTTTATGTAAAATAAATAAAAAAACTCTAATTTCTTATAATCCCAATACCAATATCCGGCGCACGCTGCCGCCGGCGCACTACTATGCCATCTAGGGGTGGCTAATTTGGACCGGGACCGGATTAAAAACCGGAAACCGGACCGTATAACCCGGACCGAGACCGGGCCGGGACTGGATAGTAAACAATCTAATCCAATCTTTGGGCTTAGATTTGAGGTAAAAGACCGGATAAGAGAGCTCAACACCCAAAACTTAAGGGTAATTTGCATAAACGGTCACAAACCTTAGCACTTAGTACAAAACTTAACCAACTCCTCACCCTTTAAGGCCTTAGGCCACTCAAATCCCACAATATCAATGTAAAATCAAGACCGAATTGGGACCGGACCGGATCAAGACCGGACTGTATCCAATCCAATCTTCGGTCCTTATATTTTCAAAAAGACCGGACTGGACCGGATCAATTTGGGCCAATTTAAACGGACCGGACAGTATAGCCACCCCTAATGCCATCCACTGCCACGATCTCTACGGCGACGACGACGTCCCATGGGAGATCTGGCGGCGCCTCCAGTCCTCCGACGAGGAACCCGACGAGGTCTACGCATTCACCAAGCTCAAGAAGAAGGCAAAGCAAGAATACGAAAGCGAGAATCGAAAACACAACACACGATTTACGTGGTTCACTAACACGATATGTGTTAGCTACGTCCACGGGCGAGAGAGAGCCAGTTTCACTATATCGAGGAGATTACAGATTACAGAGGAGTATGAGAAGTATTTATAGTACTTCTCCATGTGGGTCTAAACCTAATTCAATCTGGCAAAGGAAACGGTTACAGACCAGGCCCAGAACCCGAACCCAAATAACACAGAACCCCCACCGGGGCGTTGCCCCTGGACCCACTCGCTGACCGGGCAGCGAGACCCCCGATTACCAGTCGTAGCGGCTGATAGTCCGATTCAAGTCATATCAACACCCTGTTCAAGCTAGTCCGCCGTGCTCAATCAGTGATTGAGTAGGACGAGCGGTGGATCGGTACGCGGAAGAAGTTCAGCTATCAAAACCCTAATCCCCAATTCGCCGACGAGAACGCCTAGTGGATCCTCCACCAATTTAGCATGAGAAGAGACGACGGTCGCAACAGCGACGACGAGAGCGAAGTTGTGTGTATGATCCGCAACAACGGGTCTACAATAAGGAACGCGATTAAGGAGGCGGCGAGGCAGTCGGTTCTCGCCGGAAGGAAGAAGAAGCTCAAAGATTACATTAGGAGATTCTACTCCTCCAACGGCGGATCTAATGACGTTTCGACTTCTACTAATAGTAGCAGCAAAAGAGTGTTATTCCAATTAGGCCCCGAATCAATCATTGCAGCAGCAGCAGAAACAGGAACAAGAACCTCTCTTGACTTCCCAGAGTTCGATTGTTCAATTGTAGATCCCCGCCTACGGTGGTGCTGCCACAACGGCAACCAGAAGGCTTGCAAGTTGCAACCAGTTCAAGAAGAAGATTTGGATGAATTAGATGTAATTTCGAGCATCGATGACAATTACTCGAACGGGGAATTCGATTGGGGAGATCAAGGATGCGGCGGGGGTATGCTACCGGCGGAGTATTGGTATTAGAAGAAATTAGGGTTTTTTTATTTATTTTAAATAAAAATGTTAATGAGGTGGAAATGAGATGGCAATTTTAAAAAAATTAATTTTATTATTTTAAATTGCCATGTCACACATTTAAAGGTCAACTTTTTAGAGTTGACCCCCACGTAAGCAAAAAAGTTAACAGAGTTGGACGGAGAGTGATCGAACGTGAACGGTTTTTGTAAAGTGAAGTACTATCAATGGATTTAAATATTTCGAGTAACCAAATTTGAATGTTTTTTGTAATCTCAGTGACCAACCATGCAAATATGCAATTAACCCATAAATTTATTGAATCCATGAACTGAATTCAACCCGTCATCTCTCGACAAAGGTTTGAACAATTGTATGCACCTTGAACAATTGTGAAGTTCCACATCTTTCCTTAACCTCCACTAACTCAAATGTCATATTCCATCTTCCCATTTCGCCCATACCTATCGACTTTTTCATTTCCATTTTCCATGGCAGTAAGCCATATACACATATGGGTAAAGCACGGCGTTTCTGGTTAGCACAAATGGGATTATGATATTACATGTACTTTTTACCCAAAAATCACTAGCATAATCGAGAAAACATCCAGATACAAAGAATTACATGACTGAAAACAAATAAGAAATAAAATTGAACTCTACTATTTTTGTCATTAAATGGGCAACCCTATTACATCTCCAACAAACAAAACGGATGTGAAACACCTAAAACGAATCTCTCAAACTTCAAATCTCTTCCAAAACTGTGTCACCCAGAACATCGCCGACCTGACCCTCCGGAATCTTTCTAATTATAACTTAAAGCATCGCCAGCAAAAATGATATACTGTGTCTTCTTCCTAAAACACCACATTTTTAAACCAAACTTTGGTCCTCAATATTCCAAATGAATCACTACCATTTGAAAAGTAATATCCATGACTATAAAACAGATGACCGTATAGTGGAATAAATTTGACTTGGAAGCTAGCTAGTTTGCCTTTTAGTAGTCTAGCAACTATGTAATAATTCTCTGTTCTTTATCCCCCATCGTCTCTTTCTTTCTCTTCATTATTTGAGTTCAGCAATGGCTGGCTGCATGAACAGCAAGTGGCTTTGCTAAGCCACAAAAATCATGTGTGTCAATCGTGGCAACCACTCCACCTAACTCATATAATAACATGAGTTGGCGTATGTATGTATGTATGGATTTTGCTGAGATTAATTATGTATGAAGTTGGGTCATTACATATATAATAACATGATTATTGCATGATCCATGTGTGCCTTCTAAACTCAAATCAATGGAGCCAAAATTGGATATATATCATGCATCATCAAAAGGATTGGGTTGCTTTTCTCTGATTCGGTTGTTATTATTATATAAGAGTAGGAATGGCGAGTTTGAGAACTATGCTAAAACTCATTTTCAAATATTCAAATTCATATTTGTTCAATATCTATGCGCGCGGGGAGGTTTTTCAATCTTATTCTTATATTTGTGATTTTCGGGTGCCTATGGCTATTATCTGCATCGTACATCCAACATTAGTATACCTGAAATTTTACATATATTTTTTCAATTATAACACTAAACGGACATAACAAATCGTAATAATATAAGACAGGGGTGCAGAGACAATCATGAGGTTTGCCTAGAAGCAGCCACCCTTAAAAGAGTGCGTACTAGCTCACCAATCGAGCGCTCCTGCAATATATAAAATAAACTTTGTAGCGAACTACAGACTTTTTTTCCTCCCCACAGAAATAGCCGTACATAGACAGAAATGGATTCTATCTCCCACTCCCACATGATGGGGAAAAATGATCTTGAGAAGATAATAGTCTTATTTGACCGCTATACATCGTTAACTTGAGAAAATGAAAGAATAGAATTTACCAAATCATAATTCTTACTTTTGAGCCAACAATCATCTAAAAATATCTTCAGCGCAACGATTTCTAATCTACAAAACCCCCAACCCACGATTTCGAAACGAACTCGACTCGAACCGGTACGCGTTTGACCGACCCTTAAATAAAAAAAAAAGGGAAAAACTTAAATCATACGTAGAAACCAATCAGTATTTGGAAATGATAGCAAATCGTTAGATTTTGTTGCTAGAATCTTATGCTCCCTGTTAAATCAGGTAATGTTTTTTAGTAGACAATAATAGCATGGAAAGCAATGTAATTAATAGTTAATTGGGAATATAAACAACCAACCACGAGGTCCACGCCCTTCCAAAGCGAGTATGGTTAAGAAACCGTATCTCTCTCTCTTATCTTCCCCACTCCACTCCAAAAGATACTCTCCCCGCCACCTACCCATATCGGATTCCCAGTCGCTAGCGGGTGGCGGCACACTCACTGCGTTATGCTCCCTCCAATTTTGAACATATACTACTACTACTCCCTCTCCACTCCACTATATTATATTATATTATTGCCAAATTATCATAAAAACAAATAAATACACAATATTAAAGCTGTCATGATGCTGGCCCTGGCCGGCTATAAATACAGACAAGGCCCATCTGCATGGAATCAATATAATTCACTCTCCTCTCTACTCCTAGCTTAATTAGCTAGTCCGATCCTCCTAAAGAAGAAGAAGAAGTTTCTCAGTTGTGACTTCTCCTATACATGATCAATATGGACCGTCGACAACAGTTTCTCCCGCTAGTACTTGTTCTTCTCCTGCCCGTTTTATGCTTCCAACCTTGTTATGGCTCCTCGGTAACCCGACGCTTTCGTTTTAATGTGAGTAAGCTAAGAGTAATTAGTTTTGTTATTAAACATTCTTCTTTTCTACCGTACGTACGTGATTAGATTCTCAATGTTGCTCCTGACTTCTAACATCCATTGAGGGTTTTTTCTTCCTCTTCAGTTGGAGTGGAAGAAGGTGAATCGTCTGTGCACTACAAAGCGACTCCTCACGGTCAACGGACAGTTTCCGGGCCCAACCATCACCGTCAATGAAGGCGACGATGTTGAGATCAAGGTCACCAATCGCGTCGCCAAGAACACCACAATCCATTGGTAAAATTTTTTTTTTTTTTTTTTTACCGTGAATTAATGCTTCTATTTTTTCTACCAAGTGTGAGATTAAGATTGTATGTCACACATAAGAATCAAATCCATAAACACTAAAAAAAAATAGTTAATAAAGAATCAACACCACAATAGTTTAGTTGTCTCTTCAGGTAGCCATTACATTAGCCTTGTCGTCCGACAGTATTTTAATAATAGTAAAATGATATTGTTAGGTGTGGACTGGAGCCTAATTAACGCGAAAGAAATAAACTATTACATTCCTTAAAAAAAACTATTAAATTAGGATCACTAACCAATAGGGTTGCATATAATTCATAAAAGAAGAGGGTTGTATTTTATATTCTTAAATAAAAAAATAATTGGCCCTTAGCACTTTTTTGCACGGTGACTACTGACTAGCTAGCTGTATTCAACCCAACACATTTTGTACAATCACGATTCACGAAGACAGAGCATGTTGTTGACTTGGTTTCTTCTATTTGCTTTCACTAATAAATATATATATTATTATAGACATGTCACATTGGATGTAAATAAATTAACAAATGAAAACCATTTATTGATGTTTTTTTTATGTATTGGGGTTTGGTGCAGGCACGGAATAAAGCAAAAAAGAACCGGGTGGGCCGATGGGCCGGCCTACGTCACGCAGTGCCCAATAGGGAGAGGGCAATCCTACACATACAAGTTCACTGTGGCCGAACAAAGAGGGACCCTTCTTTGGCACGCCCATTACTCTTGGCAACGGGCCTCCGTCTATGGGGCTTTTATCATCAACCCGCGCCTTCCTTACCCATTTATCGCTCCCAATCGGCCCATTCATGCTGAAATCCCCATCATTTTTGGTAAATCATTCATGCTAATTCCCTCTCTCATTTCTCACTTTGATTTGTGTATTATTTTTGTGGTATGAATTTGTGTATATAAAATTTTATGAAACTATGATGCACTCATTTTAAAAATATGCTATTTTTCGATGTTTCAAAATTTTGCCACTTTATTAGAATTTTCTTTTTTTGGACTCACAAAATATATTTTCAAATTTTTTATTTAAATACTTTAATGTATGTACCATTCAAGTTAGGTCCCATTTTTTATTTTAATACTTTAACAAATAGATCCCTTTTTCTATGACAAAGTTACACATCAGTACTTGTGTATTTTTTTCATCAATCATATTGCCTGAACTTTCAAAAGTTTCTGAATAGATCATATATGATGTTAACACAAATCTCAAATCAATGTATGTCAATATTAATTTCAAATTTACTCGTAATCAAAACATTGAACTTGTATCTTTAATTCTGTGATTGTAAAAACAAGATTTTTTATATTTGTAATTCAACATACTAATACAAATCGTCATATATCCAAAACCAGCTTCATAATACCGTTTTCAAGAGAATTTGTAGCTAGGTCCAAAATTATTGCTACTAATAGCAATGATGTACATGTAAAAATGTAGGTGAGTTGTGGGACAAAGAAGTAGATGACTTCGAAGCGACTATGCTGGCGACTGGTGCTGGGGCAGCTATCTCCGTTGCTTACACCATTAATGGATTTCCGGGACCTCTCTATCCTTGCTCCGCCAAAGGTAACGTTTGTAATTTGCTCTCATAAAACGAGCTACAAATTAAAATGATCAAACCAAAGACTAACAGCGGCTCATTTCCAGATACCTACACGGCGACGGTGGAATACGGGAAAACCTACATGCTCCGAGTCATCAACGCCGCCCTAGGCGACGAGCTCTTCTTCTCCATAGCCAAACACACCCTCACGGTGGTGGAAGTCGACGCCGTCTACACCAAGCCGTTCACCACCACCGCCATCATGATCGCTCCGGGCCAAACCACCACCCTCCTCCTCACAGCCGACCAGCTTCCCGCCGACCCCACCGCCACATTCGTCATGGCCGCCACTCCTTACGTCACCTCCATCTTCCCCTTCGACAACTCCACCACCATGGGCTACCTAAAATACAACACTACCGGCACCAGCGGCAAGGATCGAACTCGTGACCTTTCAGTCAAACTTCCTGAGAACCTACCCAAAATGGAGGACACGAAATTCGCGACGACGTTTACTAACAAAATCAAATCACTGGCATCGTCGCAGTACCCGTGCAACGTGCCCAAAACGATCGATAGGCGGGTGATCACGACCATCAGCCTGAACCTGCAAGACTGTCCCCAAAACAAGACCTGCACGGGCTACGACGGGAAGATGTTCATGGCCTCGATGAACAACCAGTCCTTCCTCCGTCCCTCCACCTCCATCCTCGAGACACACTACCGGACCGGGTTGGGAACCGGTTCGAGCGGTTTCCCCGAGCGGCCCCTGAGCAAGTTCGACTACACGGGCGGGAACGCCTCGACCATGAACACGAACATGGAGTTCGGGTCCAGGGTCATCGTGGTGCCCTACGGCACCAAGATAGAGATCGTGCTGCAGGGCACCAACCTCCTCGCTCCCGAGAACCACCCGATCCACATCCACGGCCACAATTTTTACGTGGTGGGGACCGGGTTCGGCAACTTTGACGAGTCCAGGGACCCGAAGGGCTACAACCTGGTCGACCCGCCCGAGCGGAACACGGTTGGGGTGCCGATGGGCGGGTGGGCCGCGATTCGGATCGAGGCGGATAACCCGGGGGTTTGGTTCGTGCATTGTCACTTCGAGCCGCACACTTCGTGGGGACTGGCTACGGGATTCGTGGTGCAGGATGGTCCGTTGCCATCCCAGCGCTTGCTTCCTCCGCCTAAAGATCTTCCGGCCTGCTAATTTAATTATTATTATTATTATTATTATTATTATTATTATTATTATTATCAGTTTTGGACGATTAAAGATAATATCATTATGTTGTAATATAGGATTTGACGTTGTGTACTGTTTGGTGCCGTATTAGTTTTGATGGATTGGGCATGTAAATCGTCACCCTCGTGTCTTTTGTGGTGTAGAATGTCTGTGTTGTCCGAAGGAGAAGACTGAGGACTTATAATGAAACTTACACTGTTCGCTTACAATCATCCATTGTATGCCTAAGGCTAAAGTCTTAATTAAAGCACAAAGTAAATAAACATTACAGAATTAATCCTACACTATCAATTACATTCATACAAATAAGTCCTGGGTCTTCACCTTCGGACAACAGTCGGGATGAGGTAGCAGCTATTTGAAAGTCTCGATTTTTTTTAATTACTAGCTAGCTTTGTTTAAAAGGGAGCGCATACCGTGCAAAATTCCCGGCCAGCAAAACCTACAAAATCCGGTCATATCTTCGTATCACGATATCGTGATACGATGATACAAAGTATAATCGTGTTGTATCATCATATCACACAAGTCGTGATACGACTGAGATTTTGCAGAGTTTTGCAGGGTAGAGATTTTGTAACATAACCCAGGTCTTATTTTAGTTGGATGTACTTCCTTTTTTTTAATGGCCAACTTAATTGGACCCTACAAATATGAACAAATTTAAAAAACAGTTAAAAAGAAGTGCTTCGAAATTTGAATTATTGTTTTTTAAACTTTTTCTCATATAATTTACTAAATTTAGACACGAGAACGGGTTTATTTTTGTGCCTTCTCCTAGCCCAGTCAGGACTCGAATTCTCTTCTAATCTATTTTATAATGGCCCGGCCAATGCGTATATGGCTTCTATTCATATAGGTTGGGCTACATTTTACAGGCCCACCGTTCGTGGATATTTCAGCAGCTCCGGTGGTTCATGGTAGCCAAAAAAGTTACCTAGGAGGAAGGGTTAATTACATGGTTGGTCACTGAGATTATAAAAAACGTTCAAGTTTGGTCATTCGAAATATTTAAATTCATTAGTGGTTCAGTTTATTGAAACTGTTCATGTTTGATCACTCTCCGTCCAACTCCGTTAACTTTTGCTTACATGGCGGTCAACTCTAAAAGTTGACCGTTAAATGTGTGACGTGGCAATTTAAAATTAATAATATTAAATTTTTTTAAAATTGTCACCTCATTTCCACCTCATTATCACTTTTATTTAAAATAAATAAAAACCATAATTTCTTCTAATCCCGCAATACCAATACCCCGCCGTCGCTGCCGCTTCCATTGTTGAAACTTCCCAGTCAAACTAAATTGGGTTTGGGAAGGGGAAAGATCTCTTCATTTCCCAGTCCTGAATCAAATTCCACCCTCAGGAAGCAGAAACGGGAACAGCCGTGAGAGCTAGGTAGAGAATTAGAGACCACTACTTGCCTCCGGTGACCTCCCAAGGCGGCTATTATCTCGTCAACGGCGAAGGCGAGCCAGAATGGAGAAGAGAGCAAGACCTCCTTACAATCCAAATAGTTAAAGTCTCCTTCCTCTCATCCCTCCATTCTTCTCCGATTCTTTTCTGCATCCCTAGCTTCAAGTCCTCAACCTCCATTTCTTCCGACGATTTGAGCTATGGGCGGCGGCAATCGGTGGTTTAGGCTTGAGGTAATGAACTTTCTGATCCTTTCACTTTCTTCATATCACATTTTCTCTCTCTCATCTAGAAAAGAAGATAGTAGGTAGATGAGTAGATATGGAACTATGGCGTTTGTAATCGTGTGGTTGATGATTGGATTTTCCGCAGGTGTATCCTCTGTTCGCCGCGACGGGAGTTGTAGGAATTTGCGCCTTTCAGCTTATCCGCAACATCTCCGGCAATCCTGAAATCAGGTCTACCTCTTTTCCTCACTATTTACTGCTGTATATAAATGTTGAAATGTCTCCATTGTCTCCGTCGACTGGTTTGCAGCCGCCGTTGGATCTTTGGCCAAAACAGTTGCCTCGTCTTAGTCGCTTATCTTCCAGATGTAGTCTTATTGGGTATACGAATAATGTAGAGCTTGTGTTGAACAAGGAAATTGTTATTGCTTTTCAGAGGAAGATTGGGGCTTGTTCTTGGCTTATGTTGATTTTGAGTTTCTTCTTGTTGATAATGGATTGGCAGGGTGCCGGCGGGTATTGGTATTAGGGAGATTAAAAGAAATTAGGATTTTTTTATTTTTTTATTTTAAATAAAAGTGATAATGATGTAAAAATGAGAAGGTAATTTTAAATTTTTTAATTTTATTAATTTTTTTTTTAAATTGCCACGGTTAACTTTTAGAGTTGATCGCCACGTAAGTCAAAGTTAACGGAATTGGACGGAGAGTGACTAAACGTGAACGATTTCAGTAAACTGAAATACTACCAACGAATTTAAATATTTCGAGTTACCAAACTTGAACACTTTTTTTTAATCTTAGTGACCAACCTAGGAGGAAGCAAAGGCTGTAAAAAGCAGAGGAAAAAGGGAAGGCAATGAACGAAGAAGCAGAAAAGCAGAATAGAATTCTCAATTTTTCTTCACTTTTTTGCCCTGCCAAAGCTGCAGCCAGGAGCACGAGCTAGCCACAAACACAGCTAACATATAAAGCAAATGGTAAAAAAAACCTTGATGGGGAGCTCACTGCTCAAGAACTGTATATTATAAAGTCAAAGGAATTTTGGGTCATCTTAAAAGAATAATAATGCACATCATCTACCTCACTGACACTTATTCCCACCATCTCATGGAATCAAGTCATGGTTCTAGATTTCTAATACACATCGAATTCAGGATTATTGAGTAAGGAATCGGATTATATTGTTCGAAATCCACAGTTATTAGCGCTATTGTGCGTATTTGATGGTGTTAAATGTAAGACCACGCAAAAAAGACAACCCTCCTTGAAGTTTCACTAGTTATTAGAATGGTGTCCCAACCCTGATGGACATTACTTGCATTCAACTTTCATCATGCATTGCCACATCGTCATGAAAGAATGGTTCATAAAATTGTATTGAAAGTGTATCTCGGCCTTAATAAATATGTGTACACAAACGTTTATACTCGTTTGATTTACTCTAAAACACTTGGTAAGCATTAAATGAAAGCGTGATACAATTACCCGAGCTTATCCAACCATCACAAATTGCTTGCATTTGATCCAATAATCCCAAACACCCATGAACAGATTTTCACATAGCTTCACATACTCAATTGCGCAGACACACCAGCCAAAAGTATGGCCCCACAGTACCAAGCCCCAGAAAACAAAAGTGTTGTTTGCTCACTGCTCTTTCTTCCCCCATTTCCTTCCCACTCTTCCTTTCTCTCTTTCCCTTCATCCATTCCCATCCCCATAATCTCAATATCTCCAACCAAAACACAAGAAATCATCAATTCATCATTTCCCAAAATGTCCCGCCTTCCCCATCCTCCATTGATCCCCTCTCAATTCCTCCTCCTCCTCCTAACCTTCTTCCCCATCCTCCTCTCGGGTCTTCCCTTACCCGACCCGGAACCCATCCAGCCCTTCCACCCGACCCAGTCCCCGCCCTCCACCATCCCGGCCTTCCCGGAGCAATCCACCTACCAAGCCTGCCCTCTCGACCTCCCCGCCCCACTTTTCCACGGCGTCAAATCCGCTTGCTCCACCTCCCAAATCAGCTCTGTTTCCCAGCAGCAGCTCCACAAGGCCCGCTGCTGCCCCGTCCTCGCCGCATGGCTCTACTCCGCCTACTCCACCACCGCCCTCGGTCACCCGGCCGCAGTGGCCGCCGCCAACCGCACCAGCGGCCGCCAGTACGACATGCCGTTGCTCCCTGACGACTCGGAGACCTGCGTGGATGCCCTGGAGAAAGGGCTGAGGGAGAAAGGAATCCAGCTCCCCCGCGTCAACGAGTCCTGCGATGCCGTCTACTGCTACTGCGGGATTCGGCTCCACCCTTTGAGCTGCCCCGAGGCGTTCTCGCTCGACGCCGGAGGGAAGCTCGTCGGTGACCGGCGCGTGGGGCGGTTGGAGAGGGATTGCTTGAGCAGCAGCAGCCGCAATGTGAATGGAGGACTCCACGGGCTGCGTGGCTGCAGCAAGTGCTTGACCACTCTCAATTCCGTAAGTCCACTCTCTGGTTTTCTCCCCCAATTTTTCTCTGTTCTTGGTGAAAATTGGCAATGCCATTGGATCTCGTTTCTGGGTATTGTTCTTTTGCTCGGCTATGATGGAATTATAGGGAGATTGAGTGAGAATTGAAATTGGGCAGGGGAGAATTTGTTGATTACATTAGGCTTCTCAACTTCTAGTCTATTATCACTAATTGGGAAAGTTGTGTGGCTTTTGCTTATGTGGTGATGGGAACACGACGCTCCATGGAAGCGAGTGAACCTATATCCAGTATCCAATTCCTTCTCTTTCTCCCTTTTGTCATTCCTTTCGAGCTCGTGGGTTAGCCTTTAATCATCACTTAGGGAGAGTCTGGGAGTCTCAGTACTCTGCAATTTTAATATAGTGCAGTTCTTGGTATTTATGGGTTAACCTTTAATGAGTAAAGTACTTGCGCTTATCCCATTCTGCATCTCAGCATGATTGGAACGATAGAGTGGAACCAGAGATTCTAATGTGGGATTGATGGTAGAGAAACCCATTAATGATTTTGCCTGTCTTTGAGGTTTGATCCTATTTGTCAAGTGGGGGAAGGTGCAAGCTTGAATGTAGGGCAAAGTATTTTAGTAGAAACAAATTTGGTACAGCAAAATTTTGTTAGGTCGACTATCTATGACAAGTAAGTTGGACTGTTGGAGTGGACCTAATTGATTTGTGATCCCCTGTTTATGTGCCATCAAAACAGAACCCATTTCACTTCGTCCTTATGTGACAAAAGGATAAGACTAGCAAACAGTGGAACTCAATAATTTGTGCTCTTCACGTGGCATGTTGCTTTCACTTGCATTTTCTCTTGGGGGCCAGTGCTTAGCTAGTTGTTCGTTCCCTAGTTTGTTGTAAATGGTCCTGTCCCTTTCAGTAAGGTAAAGAACTCACAAAAGTATCTTACAGTGAGATTTTGGAAGGTGGATGGATGCATAATCATGGAATGTGTTGCTGGTAACTGAAGGCTAAAAGCTTCACCGATCAGCATAGGTATTTACTGTTACAAACCTAACGATGAAACCCTTTTCTTGCTGCAGCTCAACAGCAATAAAAATAATGAGGCTTGGAACGCAAGCAACAAAACAGAGGAAAGAAGCACCAAAATGCGTAACAAGGACTGCCAGTTGATGGGTCTCACATGGCTCCTCGCCAAGAACCGGACGGCCTACATCCACACCGTCTCTGCCGTCCTCCGAGCGATAATGGCGAACAACTACGACAGCGGAAATGGCATGGATTCCCAGCCGCATTCCTGCGCTCTTAATCGCGACGGAATGCCTCTGGCCGTCGATTCGTCCGAAATCGAGAACAGCTCCTGGTCAATCACCCGTGAAAGATGGAGCATCTACGGGATTATCTCCGTTGTCGCACTTATTTCCTTGTTGAATTTGGTACTACTGCTGCCGTGAATTTGATTGTAGTTAAAGCCGTGTACTCTGGGGCAGTTGGAAATTTAAAGTTGGTTGGCCGTGTGTGTTGTGTAAATGGGGGAAGCTGCAGCAGCCAGCCATGAGAATGTTGCTTTGGCAGAGTGGGCGTTGCAGTGGAGAGCCATGTGGGCATTAAGTGGCGTGCTTTGTTTCTAGAGGAGACAGCCTTGTCGTAGAAGGTGGCCATTGATGGCCGCAAGCAACTTGCAGGCACTAGCATTTGGTACAGCTGGTTGGGTTGGGTTGGGTTGGATGGAACGGAATTTTTGCCTTGCCTTCACGAGATATTTGCTCGTCATTTATGTGTGCCAATTGTCCATCTCGATCCAACTAAGTACTGGGCTGGGTCGATGGGTCCAGTGGGCCTTTCGGGTCAATGTGAATGTACGGCACAGGGGAACTTCATCGAAGATTTTGAGTAAAAGCAATAGGATGGGACCAGCGGATACATGGCAATTTGGGAACATATTATTCAACTAGTTTGCATATTGTCAAAAATTATTTGAGTGATAACCGGACACTCTTAAAATTTGGTAAGATTATTATTCAACCTCAAAAATGGGGAATAGTGGAACTTCATTGAAGATTTTGAGCAAGGCAAAAGCAAAAAGATGGGGCATAGTTAGATTAATGGTCTCAGACTAGATAAAACGTAAGTACAAAATTTCATTTTTTTTTCTTACCCTTTTGATTTACAAACCTCAATACTTTCAAGTTTCGAAAAAAAATTGTACAAGATGAAAAAAAATCTTAAATCATTGAATAATAAGTGAAATAGCTCCTAATTTCCTTCCAATAACTGGCACACATCATTGTCATTGTTTCATCAATGTAGGGAAAACCCAAATCGGTGGCGGCATCCCTCGATTCTGAGCTGGATCAGCAACATAATGACTAGCAAATTTCCTCTCCTTGACGTTAAATTTGCCGATATCGTGCGGACCCAAATGAAAGTAGTGAGGCTTGACCTCCACGTAATCGTCGCTAAAGTAGACCGTATCAGCTTCACAGCCTTCAAACTCCGCCGCCGGAACCGCAACCGAATAGCTGTCCCCGATGAACACTGCATCCCCATTCAGATCCTCCACCTCCACATAATAATAACAACTCGCGCCGCCGGCTCGGACCAGCTTGAATACCTTGACGTCCGCGGTCACGAAAGAAAACTCGTGGTCCCTCTCCTCCAAGCACCGCACCACCATCAGCAGCTCGTCCCCGCTCGACGACACCACCAGGTAGCTCGGCTTCGAGATCTCGTATATCTCGGACCACTGCGGGACCACCATCTCCAGCACGGGGACATAGCCGCGCGTGCCGACGCCCTCGACGTTGGCACGTGCGAGCATACCGCGGTACGCGGTGGCGTAGATCTAGCCCTGGTGGAATATCAGGTCGGTGGAGAGCTCCTCGCGGCCGGTGTAGTTCGTCCACGTGGAGAATAGGGTCCACTGCTTGTCGTCCCGGCCGGGCCGGATCACGGCTAGGGTTCTGTACACGGGGTAGTTGATCAGCGCGGCGACGACGTAGTCGTGGCCGTGGGTTGAAGGGTCGGCGGAGAGGACGATTTTCTTGGCGAAGTTGGTATACAGGCGGAAGTGGTCGTCGGCTTCGTCGCGGAGGTGGCTCGTCCCGCTGATGGTTGGGAGGGAGATTCGAGCTTGGGTGAAGGGGTTGTAGAGGGTGACGCGGTCTTCTTCTTCTTCCAAGAAAGCGAGCCAGCCGTGGGAAGAGCCACAACACCTTCTTTGCCAAGGGACCGGGAGGGTTGTTTCTGTTGGAATATGTAAAATTAGAGGACTAAAGATGTGAATAGTTTTTGATTGTGGACTGAGGAGGATATATGTTGGGGTTTTGTGGTGAAGCCCCTGCGTATTCTGCAGCCTATTTAAGCCTCTCTTTGGCTTAATGGCTGATCAACTAATCAAAGAACCCTATTTGCCACCGTGGAGTAAAGCCTTTCTGAAAGGCCGAACAACGTTAAATCCTGTGTCTTTTATGATTATGTTCATTGATTCGAGATAGATTGACATGGTATCAGAGCCTCACGAGGTTCTTCGTGTTTAGCATTGGTGATTTGGGTTCTCTTCGAGTCTACTCTTCAGGTCGAAATTCACAGCTGTCGTGACTTGGGCTTGTGGATTTTTGGCCCTGTTCTGCTGCTGTTTACGGCTTTGTTCTGCTGCTGTCTGGATTCTGCTGCTGTTTGGATTCGTCTCTGCTTCTTCTCTGCGGGTTCTCCTTTTGCGGCCGCTAGTTCTCTATTTGCTACTCTTCACGTGGTAGCTGCTGCAGATTCTTTTCTATTTGGGAGAAGCTGGTTCTTTTCTTGGGCACTCCATATTTGGTATTCTCCCCTGTCTCCCTTTGTTCGTACTTCTTCCTGCTGCATGGTTTTGGTTTTATCTATATTTTTGGTGCACCATGGATTCTATGAAGGAGGCAGTCTCTGCACGTCTCAATGGCAAAAATTTCCCACTTTGGGAATTTCAATTTCGTGTCTTCATAGAGGGCAAACGATTGTTTTCCTATTTGGATGGTTCTCTTCTTATGCCTACTGAGTCCGCCACTGCCAAAGAGAAGGTTGACTGGGCTGCCAATAATGCTCACGTTACATCGTGTTTACTTGGGGCTGTGGATCTTGGCATTGCCTTGAGTTTGCGTTCGTTCTCTACTGCCCACGAAATGTGGCAGCATCTTTGTTCTCTCTATTCTCAGACCAGTGCATCTAGGCAATTTGAAGTTTCTACTGCTATTGCTAATCTGTCTCAGGGTGACTTGGATGTTCGTAGTTATTATCAGTCTGCCCTTCATCTCTGGACGGAGGAAGACATGCTATCTCTTGCCGTCACTAAGGGACAGGTTGTTCCGGCTATGCTTCAGGAACGCAAACGCCTTCGTCTTATGCAATTCTTAGCCAAGCTGCGTCCTGAATTTGAACCTGTCCGTGCTTCGTTGCTTCATCGCAATATCTCTTCTCTTGATGATGTCGTTGCTGAACTCATTAGAGAAGAGACTAGATTGCGTAGTCAGGCTCAAGTTGATCATGGCTCCTTTAGTTTTGAAACTGCTTTTGCGGTTGGACGCACCAGCAAGCCTCAATTTCAGCGTCCAGTTCCTTCTCACGTTGAGTGTCATTACCGCCGAGAGAAGGGCCATGTCAAGATTCACTGTCGGAAGAGAAATCACTGCAACTACTGTAAGACCGATGGCCATATTGTGCTCGATTGTCCGAGCCTAGCTCGGCGTGGAAAGTCCGGTGGGTCTCGTCCAGCTGCTCCTGTTCCAGCTTACGGCGTGCAGCTTCCCCTACCGTCGCAGCCCTCATCGGCTCCTTCTGCCGGTCTGCTGGGTGTTTGTCCTGCCACTGCCAGCTTGTCTTCTGAGACTATTGAGCAGCTTGTTCAGTCTGCGCTTGAAAAGGTTCTCCCTTCAGCTTTGCAATCTGTTTTCTCAGCTACTCCTCCGACAGGTACTCCGGTCTCTTGGCATCTTGATTCAGCTGCTTATAACCATATGTCTAGCATTCATGATCAGTTCTTAACCTTGAAACGAGCTCCTTCTCTTGAACTACAAGTGGCAAATGGTTCCCGTCTTCCTGTTCAGGGGATGGGCACTGTTCGACAGCCTAATCTTATGTTATCTGATACTCTATATGTTCCTGGCTTGGTGCCCAATCTTGCTTCTGTTGGCCAGTTATTCGAAAATGGATGTCGTGTTATATTTGATTCAGATGGCTGTCTGGTACAGGATCGGAGCACGGGGAGGACGCTTGGTAGAGGTTCGAAGCATGGGCGCACTTACACATTAGATAGCTTGCAGTCTTTGGAGTCATGTCCGTCGTTGGGGAATGGAGTCATGGTGGGCGCGCCCTCTGCTGCCAAGAATTCTTCGAGTTTTGATAGTGATTTGCATTCTTTTTCTGTTTCATTGGATGATTGGAATTTGTGGCATTGTCGTTTGGGTCACCCCCATGCTGTACGGTTGAAAACTATGTTTCGGAATAAGCTTCTGCCTGGGGTTTTGGGGTCTCAGTCTGCTTATGATACTCCTTGTGTTAGTTGCATTCAGGCGAAAACAACTCAGATTTCTTTTGGTTCTAGTGATACGCAGTATGCTGCTGCTTTTGATTTGGTTCATACAGATTTGTGGGGTCCTCCGCCTACTACTTCTCGCATGGGTTATCGTTACTTTGCATTATTCATAGACCATGCTACTCGTTATTGTTGGGTATATTTCCTGCGTAAGAAATCTGAGCTTTGTGGAATAGCACATGAGTTTGTTCAGATGGTCCGCCGTACTCAGTTTGGTAAGACGGTCAAGATTATTCGTTCTGATCCCGGTGGTGAGTTCAACTCGACTCCCCTACTTACTTTCTATCGGCAACATGAGATTCTTTCTCAACTTTCATGTCCTGGTGTCTCACAGCAGAATGGGTTGGTGGAAAGGAAGCATCGTCACGTGCTTGATCTTACTCGGGCTCTTCTTATTCACTCCCATGTTCCTGTTGGTTTTTGGGTGGAGGCAGTTCGCACTGTCATTTATTTAATCAATCGCCAGGTTACTCCTGTTCTGAACCAGCATTCGCCCCATTTCATGCTATTCGGTAAACATCCTGACTACACGCGTTTACGTGTGTTTGGCTGTCGTTGTTTCGTCTTACTGACGGCTAAAGAACGTCACAAATTGGAACCTAAGGTTGCTACTTGTGTCTTTATCGGGTACAGTGATCGTCAGAAAGGCTACATGTGTTACGATGTTGTTTCTCGTCGAGTTCGTATCTCTCCTCATGTAGTCTTCATGGAACAGATTTTGCACTACAAGCTACACTCCAAAGACCCTCCTGATCTTTCCTTTCTTGACTCTCTTCCGCTGGCAACTCTCTTGGAGATGACCACTCCGACTCAGTCTGCCCTCCCTCCTGTTTCCCCAGAACCGAGCTCCCCTTCTCATTCCGGATCATCATCTGATGATTTTTCCACCTCGCCCGAGCCTGTTACGCCGCCGACAGGGAGCTCGTCCTCCTCCGGCTCCTTGTCCAGTTCGCCTTCATCTAGCGAGCTCGATTCCTCTCCCTCACCGTCTCCGAATCCCGCGGCTCCAGTACTGCGTCGCTCCAACCGGAGCAACTTCGGCCAACCTCCACTTCGGTCCCAGGATTTCGTGGCCTTTTCGGTGGATGCTCTTGCCATTCCCATCCCTACCTCGTATCGCCAGGCACGTGGAGATGAGAATTGGGAGCGAGATATGGATGAGGAAAAGGATGCGCTTGAAGCTCAAAATACCTGGACTCTTGTCCCTCGACCTGTGGATCAGAATGTGGTGGGTTCTCGATGGGTATACACAGTCAAACTCAATCCCGATGGGACACTGGAACGGTTCCGCGCTCGGGTTGTTGCTCAGGGGTTTAAACAAGAATTTGGTATCGATTATGAGGATACTTTTGCGCCAGTTGCGAAAATGCAAACTGTCCGCACTGTTTTGGCTGTGGCCGCAATGCAGAACTGGCCTCTGGTGCAGCTTGATGTTAAAAATGCTTTCCTTCATGGTGACTTGAAGGAGACCATTTATATGGAGAGGCCTCCTGGTTACACTAAGGGTGATAGTTCTACAGTCTGTCTTTTGCATAGGTCTCTTTATGGTTTGAAACAGGCTCCGCGTGCGTGGTTTGAGAAATTTCATACTACGATTCTACAGGCGGGGTTTGTTCAAAGTGCCAATGACCCATCCTTGTTCACGCGGTCTACGATTCACGGTTTGACAGTTCTGTTGATTTATGTCAATGACATGATAGTGACTGGTGGTGATTCTGCAGGTATACAGGAATTGACTGATGTTTTGCACAAGGCGTTTCATCTGAAGGAGTTGGGTAATCTTGCTTATTTTCTGGGTTTGGAGGTGCAACGTTCGACTCATGGGTTATTTGTTTCTCAGCATAAATATATATTGGATCTCCTGGATCACGCACGGCTTTCGGACTGCAAACCTGTAGTGACTCCTATGGAACAAAATTTGAAGTTGAGCAGTACGAGTGGCGATGTTCTCTCTTCTTCAGATAGTTCTCTGTATCGCAGTCTGGTTGGGAGTCTAATCTACTTGACTTCTACTCGGCCTGATGTTTCCTACGCTGTCCAGATTGTCAGTCAGTTTATGTCCTCTCCCAGGATGCTGCATTTGGATGCTGTATTTCGGATTCTTCGTTATTTGCGAGGCACAGCTGAAGTTGGTCTTTATTTTCCCTCCTCTGGTGATTTCTCTCTATCTGCCTATTTGGATGCTGATTATGTGGGATGTCTTGATACTCGGCGGTCTACTTCTGGATAGTGTGTCCAGTTTGGTTCATCGATCATTTCTTGGCGGTGTAAAAAGCAGGATCGCGTTTCTAAATCTTCTACTGAAGCCGAGTATCGTTCTATGTCTGATGTCAGTTCCGAGTTGGTCTGGTTACATCGCCTTCTTGCCGAGTTGGGTATCACTTGTCCTACTCCAGTAACCTTGTATGCCGACAATATGAGTGCTATTCGGATTGCTACGAATCCGGTTCTTCATGATCGCACGAAGCACATTGAGATTCATCTACACTATATTCGTCAGCTGGTTTCGGAGGGGTGGATGCAATTGAAGTATCTCCATACCGATGATCAGACAGCGGATCTACTCACTAAGGCAGTTTCTTCTAGTCGTCATTGGTATTTGTCACACAAACTGATGTTGCGTCAAGCACCATCAGTTTGAGGGGGGATGTTGGAATATGTAAAATTAGAGGACTAAAGATGTAAATAGTTTTTGATTGTGGACTGAGGAGGATATATGTTGGGGTTTTGTGGTGAAGCCCCTGCGTATTCTGCAGCCTATTTAAGTCTCTCTTTGGCTTAATGGCTGATCAACTAATCAAAGAACCCTATTTGCCACCGTGGAGTAAAGCCTTTCTGAAAGGCCGAACCACGTTAAATCCTGTGTCTTTTATGATTATGTTCATTGATTCGAGATAGATTGACAGTTTCTAGGAGCCGGTTGCGGGCGGTGGCGGAGTAGAGGCCGCGCCGCTCGTGGCTGCGGTCCTTAGTGGGGACCATGAGGAGCGGGGCTTGGTTTTGGGGACTGGTGGCGATACGACGTCGCTTTTGGGATTCGGCGGCGGCGTGCCACGGCTTGCAAACGGTGCTGAATTGGAGGTAGTCTTGTAAGGAGACCAAGTTTTGGAGCACCGAGTTGAGGATGAGGTCCGGGAGCCATGCCCAATCTCTGCCGTTTCTTATTGTCTCCACCGCCGGCGTCGCCATTCTGACGCGCTAGCTAGTTTGATCACAAGAATATTATTGGGACGCGCTAGGTTGATCATAAGAATAATTAAGCTAAGTTACGTCGCACGTCATATCTTAATTTGCACCAATCGGATCCGAATTCGGCTGGAATAAAGATCCAGCACCTATTCAATTTGATTTTTTTCTGATCTCTCCGCAAAGCAAGGGAGGACACAGGAGTCTTTCTGCTTCTCAATTTTTGGTGCTTGACCGGAGGATATCAATCGGAATTTTATATTTCAATTCCGCGTACCACTAACTTTAGGAATTTATATATACAACTAAATATAAAATAAACAAATTATCGGTTTATTTACTTAAGATAAATGTATATGAAATTGTTTTATACATGTTTAATACGTGAACGGTCAACCAAACATAAAATAAAGAGACAAGTCTATCATAGTACGTAACGAGAGTAATTTATTAAAAAAAATTATTTATGAAGTTTAAATCATCTATCGATATCCAACCACGTGGGAATACCATCTTACAAATATAATTTTTAGTTTAGGATCGGATGGTTTATCAAAGTTCTAAGTTTCAATTCGGGTACAATAGATGTGTTAAGATAACTTTATGAAGTAGAAACGTTACAAGAGATGTGTTGTGAAAAATAACTCTATGAAGTAAAAACGTTACTCAATTCAATAAAATTCTTATTAAGGCTATTAATTCTATGTTCATTGACCATTTCATTCCTCTCTATCTCTGAACGTCAAAGTAGGTAAATATTTCTTAATTTATTAGTTTAGTTCTTAAGATGTTATTGATCACCTATTCGTGATTGGCCACCTTTGCGGATGAAAAGTTATTCACATAAATTGGAGCTATCTTGGTGCTACCTAATCTTAATTTTCCTAATCTGATTGAACTTCTCACAAGCTAACATTCTTACGATATTAAAAAAATCTTTCTTATTATGTTGAAACTAAAAATGCAACTTAATTTTTTTTTATTTTGATTATTTTTATGATAAAAATGAGATTAAACACCTAATGGTTGCTTGAGAAAAGACTATTCATTCAATGTCAGTTGATGATGGAGATTCTTTATGGTAAAAAATTGAAATCAATCATTTTGGAATACCTATAATATTGTGTATTTAAGTTTAGCATGAGTTGATATTTCCTTGCACGAGTTCTATTGTTTTAATTTCAACCAAAATCTGCATAGAAGACGATGATTACAATGTTGTATTATCTACGATGGATGCTCTTATCAACGATTGAATAATTTGTCTTTCTTAATAGTAAAAACTAAGAAACTACATTGCTATGTTGTTAAATTTACCATTTTTGTTAATTGGCATGACATATTGACATATAATCATGGCACAAATATAAGAGGAGAGAAAGATTTTTGAAATTTGAACTAGAAACCTTCGTTTAAATTTTGTTATAATTCAACGATTTTTTTTTGTTATAAGGGTGACATAGAAACCTTTGTTTTTTTTTTGTGGCAAAGTCGGGGTAAAAGTTCAGTCATACAGAGGAAATAAATAAAGCGCGGGAGTCGACCAATAGTCGAACTCCCGATGAGAGGACTTTTTGTGCCACATGATGGGCGGCCCTATTAAGTCGACGAGAAACAAAGCAGAAAGAAATCCAACTGAATTGGGAAGCTAGGACCCGGGAATCTTCGAGCACACCTCCATTCCGATCATGAGCAAAATCGTCCCTCACCATCCGTCGTATCAATTGTTCTGAGTCCCCATGAAATTTGACAAAAACAAAGCCATAGGTCAAGCACCATTGTAAAGCATCTCTTAGGGCAAACATTCCATAACAAACTACCTTGCTAGTTTGTAAAATGGATAAGACTATTTGTTAATTCACATGACAGTGACATATAACATGACATGGATATAAGAGTCTAAGAGAAGAATATATTACTGAAATTTAAAGTCATAATTTTTTTTAAATGTTATTATCATATAATTACCGGCCAACGTACAATTGATAATTTTTTTAAATCTAGTTACCTATAAGTCAAGTTGTACGTCATACCAGAGCATACGTACAATTGAGATACTCTAGAGACATTATTATACTATAATAAATTCTAATAAAATATTAATATAGTATAGGATCTGATTTCTCCGAACCCAAATCTTAATATTCATTTAATGAAAAATAGTAATTGACGAGTTTGATTTGTTGAAATCTTAATATTCATTTAATGAAAAATAGTCATCGAGGAGTTTGATTTGATGAAGTACAACGAAGTACATCCAACGGTCAAGGGTATAGCGAGAAATTCGTCTAGGGTGAGTCCATTTTATGAAAATTACATATGATAAAAAAATTTGTTAACTATTTTCATAATTTAGGATTTGATATTATTTTGAAAAACTTGGTAACTTAAAATAAATTGGTAGTCAAAACTATAAAATTACATTACTCTATCTATACGAAACAATTACTCATTATTTAGTTAGTCTTTTGCTTTAAGATGATTCACTTCTTCAATAACAATTTATTATTGATAACTGGAGTTCTTGTATTAAGTTGAATAATAGATGTTATTGTACTATTTACTAACACACTTACTCAAATATAAACCAACTTATATTACTCAAAGTTTGCACAAATCCGATTATCATGTGCTTACCAAATGGGGTCATCAAGGTTCAAATACAAGGCCTCTCGGTCATCTATTATCAATTAGACGCGTCCTAATTTTATTATTAATTAACTATTATATCTAATTATCTATTCTCTTCCCAAGGACCCACCCTATGACACTCCTCCTTCCTTGTAAAAATAAAGTTGTTTGTTTTACAAATTAGCTAAAATTTGCGAAATTATGATGTTAATATCAAATAAGTACACCTTTGATTTTAGTGGATCATATACATCACTGTTATTTGAACATAACTCGTTATAAAATTTTGAATATGTCAATAAACGATACGTAAATTTCACATCACACATTTGTAAGGTTTATAATTCTCAATTAGATACTCCATAATTATTATTTTCAATTAATTTCTATACATAATTTACCAACTTCTCTCCCGATCAAGGGTGGGTCCAACACTCTAGCTCTGCCCCTGGCCAATGGCCAGATCAATTGGAGTATGGTATAGTTCTTGAGTACGCCAGTCGTTAACCACACATATAGTGGCTTTTTCAGTGTTCTCACAAAATGAGTGCATACTATGCACACAACTCTAAAAGTAGCATAAAGACATTAAAATTTTAATTTTAATTGGTAGCATTAGTCTAATATGATGTTATATCATAGGATCAAAACTAATCGATGAATTATCCTAAGTTCTACACCTTCGATTTTGAACCTTAAACTGAAACCCTAATTCTAAATTCCTAAACCCTAAATCATCCAAGTCCATGTTCTTTCTTGTCCATGATATCACATATGATGATTGACATCGTTTTCGCATGAATCAGCCGCAGGAGAGAAAGATGCATAATTGAACTCAAATCTTACATTTCAGTTAATGGAAAATTGAAAATTTTCTTTGCAAAAAAGCTCATCTTGCAAACACCATCAACCCACAAATTTGACCTTTCTTCACTACCTAATTATTTCGACCATAAAACACCATGTGCATGAGTAATGACTCATGCAGCATATAAGCTATCCATAGATTACACTAATCAATTATATACAGAAAAACCATGCAAATAATGCATGTGTTATGACTATTTAAATGACAGAAGAACTTCACTAGCTATACACAAAGAGAAAAAGCAAAGCATTACGTAGTCGAGCTAGCTAAAAGCAAATTCCTAAAGCTTGCAACTTCCCAGCAGATCAGTAGCGAAGCCTGCTCGCAGCACTTCTCACTTCTTCGTAAACTGTTCTACCTAGTTCTAATTATTTATTTTATAGTTTAATGGTTTGCTTTGCTAATGTATTTCATTTTTTTCATGGCAGGATGGACCACGGCACCCGCTGCCACATTTGCACCAGGGAATGCCACACGGCCAAGGGTGTGATACTGCATCAGGATTCGAATCATAAAGACTACAAGGACGGTGGAGTCCTGCAGCAGGCGCTTCGCGAACAAGGCGGACTTGGCAGAGCACAAGGACCGACGACACTAGCTAGTAGTAGTAGCAGATCAGTTGACCATCTAGATAGTACGTACTGCAAATCATAGATGGTTTTAGTATTGTCATTATTATGAATTGTGTTTCTTAGTTATGAAGTGAGGTTATAGAGTTTAAAGAGTACCAACTGTGCGACTCCTTCGCTAATCGAACTATACTGTAGGAAGATTTGGGAAATCAGAGACAGTCGACAAAATAGCTCGTTGGGAATAAATCATCATCCTAGAATCTTGGAAATCAAGTCGAAATCAATCAACTGATTGATTGCATAATCACAGCACAAGAATCACTCCTTTGATCAAGCATTGCAAATAAGGAAGGTTCCAACTCACTCAAACCACCTCCTCCTCTTCTATAAAAGGGACTGAAACGTATTGCCTCTTCACTTTTGTGAGAGAACGGAAAAGGGTTTCTAAACAAAAGGGTTTAGCAAAGGGGAAGAGGTTCTTTGCTAGTGGCTGATACAAATTCCGGAGTTTGGAATTTGGGTTGTTTATTCGTCATTCTACTTTGTTTCTAGAATTTCTTTCTTTGAGTCTTTATTTCGATTTGCTTCTTTTGTACTTGTAAGTTAGATTGTAAAGAAAATAAAATAGAGTCGTAGGTGTGGACGTAGCCCATTGCGCCAGGGTGAACCACGTTAAGAATATCGTGTGTTCTTTAAATTTCTGCACTTTTCTTTTCGTACTTCATCTTCCATACCAATCCTCAGTTTTCCAAGGATTTTGATCCAAGGAAGAAAACAGACCTAAGTGTTCTCTATATTGGTCTGCTCGGCTGGGCTTACCAATCCTCAAGCCCATCTCAACGTTGGATTTCTGCTAATAGATTTCAAGTGGGCTTGAGAAGTTGTGGCCCGAACTGAAGGGGAGAATCAGAACGAAAACACTGAAGGACTTCTCCTTCATTTTCGATCTTCTTCCTCTTCTGCTTCTTCCTTACTTTCCCAAACTTACAATCCCTAAAATCGGTCCCCTTGATTACAATTGGTATAAGAGCCAATCCCTTGATTGAGCTACATACTACCAAGGGAATCGATCATGGGGTCCTCTGTCTTTGGTCATGCTTCATACAATCATCCGCCGTTATTCACAGGAACAAATTACACCTCCTGGAAATGCAGAATGGAAACGTTCCTCTGGGGAGTCGATGAAGTGCTCTGGACCGTGGTAAGCGATGGTCCTCTTGACATGGATCTTACCCAGCGATCCACCTGGAATGATGCTCAGAAGAAAAGCGCCCAGCTCAACAAAATGGCGATGCATATTCTTCACTCTGCCATGGCTGCGAGTGAGGCGGATAAGATCGAGCATTGTGACACGGCTCAGGAGATCTGGATTGCACTTGAGAAAACATACGAAGGAACCTCCAACATCAAGGAGACACGCATCGATCTCCTAATGCACGAATACGAGACATTCGCCATGAACCCAGGTGAGGATATTCAATCATGTACTCTCGCTTTACTATCATTCTAAACAAATTAAAGGGTTTAGGAAAATCTTTCGTAAGGATATAAATCGCAAGATTCTTCATTCATTGCCTAAGGAATGGTTACCTAAAAGAACTGCAGTCGAGGAAGCGCAAAATCTAAATACTTTACCAGTTGATGAATTAATCGGTTCATTATTAAGTCATGAGCATGTTGTTAAGCAAGTTCATGGTGAAGATAAGAGGCAGAAAAGTCTTGCTTTTCAAACTAGAGTCTATCAGGATGACTCTGAAGATGACTCGTCTCTTGATATTGATAAGGAAATAGCCTTTCTCAGTAAGCGCCTTCAACGAATAAACATAAGAATGAGCAGAAACGGTTGAATAACAACTCAGGAAAATTCATTAGTTATGATAAAACTAACTCTGGATTCAAGGATAGGCTGCCTTCTAGGCAGACCAGAAATGTGGATGCAGGTTCTTCGGCAAGGGAACCACAAGGATGCTACAAGTGTGGCCAACCAGGTCATATCCGTGCACATTGTCCTCTCACCCTCAAAGCCAAAGAAAAAGCCATGATGGCCTCTTGGAGTGACTACGACTCTGAGTCAGATGATGATCAGGTAGACGAGGAAGCATTCATGGTCTTTGCCATGAATGTAGAAGGTAACTCTTCTCACTCTTCTGCTGAACTTGCCTTCAAAACAGCAACATTTACCTCAGAAATGAATGATGATCCCCACTGGTATATGGATAGTGGGTGCTCACATCACATGACTAGCACAAAGCAGTTATTCACTTCTCTATCTCCTAGAAATGGTGGTAAGGTTATCTTTGGTGATGATAGTTCTGGAACCATCATTGGTCATGGTACTATTGGCCGAGAACCCTTTCCTGTCATTCATAACGTTTTGCTGGTCGAGGGTCTAAAACATAACTTACTCTCAATAAGTCAGTTATGTAGTAGTGGATATAAAGTAACTTTTGAAGCATCTCACTGTGTCGTGGAAAATTCACAAGATCACAAAACATTGTTTGTTGGAAAACGTCAGAATAACATGTATGTTATTAACTTCCAGAAATTATGATCATCCGGTGAAATATGTTTTGTGGCTGCATCACAATTAGAACTTCTTTGGCATCGTAAGCTAGGACACGTTAGTCTTTCTATCTTGTCTCGTCTTGCTAAATCTGAATTAGTTCATGGTATTCCTTTATTAACAAATCAGATTTTTTTTGCCACGTTTGTGTTCAAGGTAAACATACTAAACGATGCTTTAAACCAAAATCTGGAATTACTACCTCTGCAGTTTTTGAACTGATCCATATGGATCTCTTTGGTCCTTGCAATGTTTCTAGTCTAGGAGGTAAGAATTATGCATTTGTGCTTGTTGATGACTTTTCTCGATATACTTGGGTATATTTTCTTGGGCATAAGAGTGAAACATTTTCAAAATTTCAAACTTTTGCTCTTACTTTCGATAAGAAAATTTCAACCATCAAAAGTGACAATGGCGGAGAATTCATCTCTGATGAATTTGAAAGCTTATGTGATTCTTTAGGAATTCATCATACCTTCTCTGCTCCTCGTACACCTCAACAAAATGGGGTTGTGGAAAGAAAAAATCGTACTTTAATTGAATGTGCTAGGACCATGCTTCTTGAATATGGATTACCTAAATATTTTTGGGCAGAAGCAGTTAGCACAGCGTGCTATATAGGAAATCGAGTTTTAATTCGTAAGCACTTAAATAAAACACCATATGAAATCTTTAAAGGCAAGAAACCAAGCATTTCTTACTTTCATCCCTTCGGTTGTCGCTGCTATTGTTTGAATACCAAGGACAACTTAGGAAAATTTGATGCTAAGTCTGATGAAGGAATTTTTCTTGGATACTCCATTAAAGGACAAGCTTATAGGGTGTTTAATAAAAGGACTCAACGAGTTGAGGAAACTGTGCATGTAACTATTGATGATACTAATATGGCCTTGCAGCCTAGCAACCAGGATATGGAAATATTTGACTTTGCAGAGATGCACATTCATCAAATGCTTCGGCTGAGACTCAATCTACAGATGCAAACTCTTCAACTCCTGCAGCAAATGTTAATTCCGAGGTAGACACACATCACGAGATTCCTACACCACTTCCTACTGAATCTGAATACCCTCTCGCAGTCAACTCGTATGATCTAGAACCTGATACTCCCAATCTGGATCCGGAAGAAACTCTGACAGCTCCAACACACATCAAGAAACGACATCCCCCAAGTCAGGTCATTGGCCAAATAACAGATGGAGTCAGAACTCAAGGTAAGTACACTCCTGGACAATATGTCTTTGTTTCTCAACATGAACCTAGAAATTATAAGGAAGCCCTGAAAGATGATGAATGGTCTTATGCTATGATTGAAGAATTGACTCAATTTGAACATCTTCATGTGTGGGATCTAGTTCCCTGTCCTGATACTGTGACTCCTTTAGGAACAAAATGGGTTTTTCGGAATAAATCTGATGAAGAAGGTATAATAATTCGTAATAAAGCTCGTTTAGTTGCTCAAGGATACTCACAAGAAGAAGGGATTGACTATGATGAGACATTTTCACCTGTTGCTCGTCTCGAATCAATTCGTCTTCTTTGTGCCTTTGCTAGTTATATGAACTTTAAATTATATCAGATGGACGTTAAGAGTGCCTTCTTAAATGGTATCATAGAAGAAGATGTCTATGTAACCCAGCCCCCAGGTTTTGAAAGTCATGAACACCCAAACTATGTTTTTAAACTAAATAAAGCTCTCTACGGCCTTAAGCAAGCTCCTCGTGCTTGGTATGAACGACTCACGTCGTTCTTACTAAGTCAAGGCTTTGAGCAAGGATCAGTAGACAAAACTTTGTTTATTAAACGTGTTTCTAGTGATCTTCTTTTGGTTCAAGTATATGTCGACGACATTGTTTTTGGATCAACCAATGATCAACTATGCTCTGATTTCTGTGCTTCTATGAAAAGTGTTTTTGAAATGAGCATGATGGGTGAGCTACAATTCTTCCTCGGTCTTCAAATAAAACAAACTAGTGATGGTATTTTTATTAATCAATCTAAGTACATCTCCTCCATGCTTAGTAAATTTGGCTTCAACTCCTTAAATCCCAGCCCTACACCGATGGCCACCACTACTAAGCTTTGTCAGGATGAGAATCTCAGTATAGGGTATGATAGGTTCCTTACTCTATCTTACTGCCAGTCGACCTGACATCCTCTTCTCTGTTTGTCTATGTGCTCGGTTTCAATCAACACCCAAAGAAAGTCATTTAACTGCCTTAAAGCGGATTTTTAGATATATTAAAGGCACATCAGATGTAGGTCTGTGGTATCCCCGGCACGATAGCTTTGATCTTTTAGGCTACAGTGATTCTGATTTTGCTGGTAGTCTTACTGATCGTCGTAGCACCACTGGTAGTTGTCAGTTTGTAGGAACTTCTCTGGTTTCGTGGTCTAGTAAGAAGCAAAGTGCAGTGGCTTTATCCACAGCTGAGGCAGAATATATAGCGGCTGGTAGCTCATGCACTCAGCTTCTTTGGTTAAAAAATCAACTAGCCGATTATGGTATAAAAACATCAATCATGCCTTTGTTTTGTGATAACACCAGTGCCATTTGTATTACTAAAAATCCCGTGCAGCATTCTAGAACCAAACATATAGAAGTGAAATATCATTTCATCCGGGATCTAGTTCAGGCTCAAACTGTTGCTCTACATCATATTCCTACTGAATTCCAACTGGCTGATATTTTCACAAAATCTCTACCTGCTGATCGATTCATCTTTTTGTGCTATGAACTCGGGCTTTGCTCTCATCAGGCTCTCTCCGAGAGCATCATTAGTTAAGATCTTCTTCCTTTTTAGTTTTTATTTTTTATTTTTCCTGTTCTGATCTTCATTTATTACTTTCTTTTTGTGTGATAGTTTTCATCTTGTTTAGTAGTTTCCTTGATTGTGTATGTCGTGTTTATTTAACAACCAGTCCTAGGTCTCTTCCTCGTCCTCTCCATCTGCTTCTTCTCTGTCTTGTCTTACAATGGTGCTCATCATCACATACATGGGTACATTGTTCCTTGAGCCTGTCATCTCAAACTATCATCGTCACATCTAGTTTTTTATCAATCGCCCCTTGATTTCCTTCTGTCTTATGCCATTCCCTGCTTTAGTGGACGCTGGCCTTGATATTACTCCCTTCGTTCAGAACCTTGGTTGGACCTCTCTCCTTGATGCTCCTCTAACGACCTCGTTTTGTCCTGAAATTATCCAACTGTTCTATTCTAATCTTCAATCCCCTGGGCTGTCATCTCGTTCCTTTCACTCTATGGTCTTTGGCCATGCCTTTGCTATTCATATTGACGATCTCAGCATGCTCTTGAATATTCCTGTTCATGGGGTTACTTTAGCTGATGAGTCCGAATTTCCCCTGTTTGCCTTCAACCTTGTTGAGAAATTTCTTGCTATTATTGGCCATCCTCCCGGACCAAATAATACTTTACCTGTCACTGTCCTTCCCCCACCCCTTCGTCTCCTCCACTATTACATTGTTCGAGTCTTCCTTCCCAGAGATCACTCTGTCACGACTATTCTCCCTCTCGATCTTTGGATCATCTCGAATGCTGTCCATGGTACCCTTCTGAATTACTTTCACTTATTTTTTGAGTCCCTACTGCGATTCACTGAACCTGTCCTAGGTGAAGCCCTGCCTTTCGGTCCCCTTGTGTCGACCCTTCTAGTTCACCTTGAGATAAACCTGTCATCCTTTATCACTTTCGATCTTGTGTTCTCCCCTGTGGCTGCGGATATTCTTGAAGCTCTGGAGATTGCGATTGAAGGGGAGGAACCCCTTGACGAGGACAATGGAGACGAGGACACTATCAAGGAAGAAGTCGACTGCAACACTAGTGTTAGTTCCAGTGAGAGCAGTGACACCAACAACAACACCAGTGATGATGTTTAACTTAGTTCGATTGTTTAGCTAGTCTTATGGTTGTCGGCTTAAATTTCGTGATAGATTATGATTGCTTCGGCCTTTTATGATTGCTTCGGTTAAAACTGTGTCGACTTTGCTATCTATGATAATCTCTTTTTCTCTATGCGGATTGAATGTTCCTCTTAAAGAGATGTGAAATAACTATCCTCTTGTTGAATACTAACTCCTTGAGAAGAGGAAAGGTAGTGTCGTCTTCTTTGTTTCAGGCAATCGATAATCTCTGATTTAAGGGGAGATTGTAGGAAGATTTGGGAAATCAGAGACAGTCGACAAAATAGCTCGTTGGGAATAAATCATCATCCTAGAATCTTGGAAATCAAGTCGAAATCAATCAACTGATTGATTGCATAATCACAGCACAAGAATCACTCCTTTGATCAAGCATTGCAAATAAGGAAGGTTCCAACTCACTCAAACCACCTCCTCCTCTTCTATAAAAGGGACTGAAACGTATTGCCTCTTCACTTTTGTGAGAGAACGGAAAAGGGTTTCTAAACAAAAGGGTTTAGCAAAGGGGAAGAGGTTCTTTGCTAGTGGCTGATACAAATTCCGGAGTTTGGAATTTGGGTTGTTTATTCGTCATTCTACTTTGTTTCTAGAATTTCTTTCTTTGAGTCTTTATTTCGATTTGCTTCTTTTGTACTTGTAAGTTAGATTGTAAAGAAAATAAAATAGAGTCGTAGGTGTAGACGTAGCCCATTGCACCAGGGTGAACCACGTTAAAAATATCGTGTGTTCTTTAAATTTCTGCACTTTTCTTTTCGTACTTCATCTTCCATACCAATCCTCAGTTTTCCAAGGATTTTGATCCAAGGAAGAAAACAAACCTAAGTGTTCTCTATATTGGTCTGCTCGGCTGGGCTTACCAATCCTCAAGCCCATCTCAATGTTGGATTTCTGCTAATAGATTTCAAGTGGGCTTGAGAAGCTGTGGCCCGAACTGAAGGGGAGAATCAGAACGAAAACACTGAAGGACTTCTCCTTCATTTTCGATCTTCTTCCTCTTCTGCTTCTTCCTTACTTTCCCAAACTTACAATCCCTAAAATTGGTCCCCTTGATTACATATACTATTGCTTGTTTTCCTTTAACGATCTACTTTCGAGACTATAAATATCGATTTTTAATTAAATTAGCATTTATATATAAATCTCCCAATAAAGAGATGTATATTTCTACTCCAATTCGCACACAGACACATAGTTATATCGTATATATAATTCACGTTTACTGCCCCAAGACTGTTCATGGTTACAGATGACGAAGAAGAACAGAAGCAGAGACTGGACGTGTCATATCACCAAGGTTGTCGACTCGCGGGTCGACTCTGGTTGGTCCGGACCCGTCCTAAAAAACGGGCCATAGTAACCCTTTCGACTGTCAGCTCGGAACTAGTCAAACCCAGCAAAACTCAGGCGGTTAGCTCGTTAGAGCAGGTCAGTGGGTCTCCCGTTCCTGCAGCCGCTCTGTCGCCTGCTACCGAAGCCGGTCAATTGCATCGCCGGGTCAGGGTGTTCTCCCTTCATCGGCGGCATGGTGCAGGTCGCCGGAGAGTCTTCTCTCTTTAGCCTTCACAGCTCGGCCGCCGTCTCCCTCTATTCCACCGATTGGTCTCCTTCGCCTGGAGCTCGACCTTCCTCTGGCAGCTCGGTCTTCCATTTCCAGTTGGCAGCACAGCCTTGCAGCCTTCTCCTTTCTGATCGACGCTTCCTCCTCTGTTTGACGTTCAAACTCGATTGATATTTGGCAAGGGTTTGTTGGATTTGGGACTTGGTTCCAATAAATGTAAATGGAAGAAGTTTAATTGTTGGATTTGGGACTCGCGTCCTCCCTCTGCAGGACTCGATTGTTTGATGTTTTAGATGTTAGGAAGAAGTTTAATTGTTACTTTGTTAGTAATCCTTTGTAATTTTGGATTGCTTAATTTTCGGGGCTAAATTGGGTTAAACCGGGTAACCATTAACCCTTGAGGTCTTGACCTACTAGGTCGACCGGATCCGGGACAACCCGCTGGTTGACAACCTTGTATATTACCAATTAATATTGAGTAACATAATATTAAACAAAGAAACTACAACTCATTAATTAGAATGACCCCACTGTTAACCAAAAAACCAACCCAAACACAAATCCCTTTCTTTCCTCTGGTCTTTCAAGCTTCAACCCGCAAATCAGGTTCAACCTTCATATTACAACAAATCTATAGTTTAACCGTATTTCGTTTTTGTTTAACATTATTGGAGATAGTCCATCTTTTAATTTTTGTTTTTTTTTCTCTAAAATTTTCAAGGTCAAAGCCCACTTATTCTGCCACTTAGTCAAAACTTAATAGCATGACTAACGAAAGAGATACGTAGTAACACAATTGTTATATAGAAAAGTGTAGAACACAAATGCTAATTTTGTGAGAAGTCGATATTAATAGTGTTTGTGCCTGGATCATACCAGGCGGTTTTGTGAGGTTTCACGGGTCTTGTGCGACCTTCGATGGTCGAGGGCAGTCTTCGGAACCCTGCAAGAAAGGTCCTCAGGATAATCCTGGGACCTCCTCTGATGTCAAAGTTAGAGAGAGAAGTGAATGAGTTGTAAATAAGAGAGAGAGTGGAGTAGGTTGAAGTTACCATAAATGTAATCCATCAGTGGGTATTTATACTAGCTGTGGTCCTCTGATGTCAAAGTTAGAGAGAGAAGTGAATGAGTTGTACATAAGAGAGAGAGTGGAGTAGGTTGAAGTTACCATAAATGTAGCCCATCAGTGGGTATTTATACTAGCTGTGGTTGGATTGGGGGGCATTTAATGGCCCGTCGGGTGTCCTGGGATGCCTCCGGCTTAATTAAATGCACCTTCAGAACGTACTTCTGTCAGTCTCCGTACTAGGAGGGTCAGGAATCCGTTGGACCGTTATGTCGGGCGGTCTTATAGCTATTCGTCGGATCAAATGTTGGGCGTTCTTGTCTTATTTTTGGGGGGAAAGACCGCCTGCGATTGATCCTCGTGCTTCTCTGCCCCTGTTTGGACCCGATTCATTTCTTTGGGGGCTTTTGGTAACTGTGGGCTTGAGGCCCATGCATATCAATGCTTGGTCCAACATTTGCCCCTTAGGCGCGGGAAGCGATAGGTTTTCGCGGGTAAATGAAATTTTTCGACATCATTGAGCGGTTCTGGGCCGTCTAGTCCACAGTGCCCATTTGAGCGGTTTTTGAATCGCCTGGCGTATGATTCACTTGTTGCCCATGGTCGTGGAAGAGTAGTGCGGGAGCGCCTGAGGGGTGGAAACCGCATGCGTCCTTGTTTTTCGGTCATGCCCTTGCCATGTGTCGTGTATCGGACGCGGAGCCGTGACACAGGCAGACGGAATGTCAACTCTGGCGGTGTTCGGGTCTCGGGTTTCGCAAAAACATCTTGTCAGGGTTTCATAATTTCTCTTTTCGTCTTTAAGTAGGATTTGTGGGAGATATTTCCGCCATTTCCCTCCTTGTTTGAGAAAACACTTCGTCTTCTTCCTCCTTCCTTTCTCTGTGAAAAGTTTTGAGGCTTCCGACTCTGACTTCTATAAATCTGATCGTTCCACCAGGTAAACTTTCTCGTGTGGGTGGCCTAGTTCTGTCGTGTTCTTTCTTTCGTTTCGCTAACCTTTTTCTCGCTGCCATTTTTCCTCCTGCGAACGCCAGCGTTCTTTCGCGCTCTTGGGGATCAACGTTCGCCGGCCGCTTCATCATTTTCAGATGGCAGGCAATGGTTTCGCTTTACCGGCTGGCGGGGAGAAGCCCGATGTTCCCACCACTGGCAACACCTCCACCGCCGATCCTGCCCCAGCGGTTTATTTGGAGAAGAATCCTTCGACCTCGACCGCGGCACCATCGTCTTGCACCGCCGGGAAGAAAGTTGTGACGACTTCCACTGGAACCGCGCCCGCCATTCAAGGTATGAATTGTTCTCCTCCAACTCGAAGCACGTCTGAGTGCGTGTGGGATTTGTCCGGACTAGAATTATACGTTGGAAATGGATCTGAATTGAAACGATTGTCTTGTCGGGGTCTATGTAGACTTAGATAGTTCTTGTCCTAACATCCGCCCTGTACCGGTTGGGGTTGTGGCTACTTCTTCCGCGGTTGGGGATAACCTGGGTGAATTTTAGCGGGTAGATTTAGATAGTGTGTCATTGGCTGATGACGACGAGGTTGGCAGTGGCAGGGTGCGCTCAAAGGTTCTCCCGAGCACCTCCTCTTCTTTGGAGATAGTGGAGGACGGGGGCGAAGACCGCTTCCTCTCGCAATTGCAGATTCGACGTATACCCTACTACGGCATGCGGGTATGTGGGGTGATGATCCAGTCCCGCCTGAAGTGTTTGATCGGGGACCACCGCATACTTCGGGTTTCAAACCAGAGCAGGTGCTCTATCGCCTCAAATCTCTGCACCTGCCCCCGGAGTGGCAGTATGCGGCTCCCTCGAAAGTAAGTCGCTCGGGGTCGTGTCCTAGCATTTGGATACCTATCTACGTTGAACATGTGAAGCTGGGATTGTGGTTTCCCTTGGATCCCATTCTGACGAAGGTTTTGCTCTGCCTTCAATGCAGTCTGGGTTTCCTCTCCCCTACCATTATCTTCCATTCAGTTATGCATCGTCTTGCGTGTGACCGCCTCAAGGAGACACCTTCGTTTGATGCGTTTAGGATTATATATAACATCCGAGACCCGACCAATTGTTGGTCTATAGGAAGGCGGGAGAATGCCATGGATTTTGTCAAGGGAGCGCCCAAGTGGGACTCTCCATGGTATAAAGACTACTTTTTCGCGCGACCCTCGTGGATGTGCTATTCTGGCGATGCTGAGCCGCTTACGGGATATGCGGCTGGTTTGAAGGATGATTGGTGTGCGGCTACTCAGTTTCCTCAATCAGTGAAGGATCACGTTGTGCGCATTGTGGAAGGCGTCCAAATTCGCGTGAGGCATAACGGTCCTGAGAGCATTTATCAACACGTTCGTGCTTTGTATGGTTAGTCTCGTATTTTCTCAATCTTTATGCTTCCTTTTCTCATGTATTTTTACTTATGCTTTATTTTTCCAGGTCTGAGGGAGTTGGCGGACGCAAACAAACCTAAGAAGAGGAAGGCTGGAAATACTACGAAGGCTGGAGGTGCGTCTGCGTCGGCAGCTGAGGCAAGGACAACCGCTCAAATGGTTGCGCTTTCTCCAGTCCTGCTAGTCGTAGGCCCACCGGCGGCGATTACTGCAGCGTCCGTTCACGTGACACGGGGTGCGGGGAAGCGGGTTTTAGAGCGTAGCATTCCTAAGGTGGTGGCTAAGCGTGCCAAGCCAAGCTCTACGCATGCTAAGGCATGAGATAAGCGTGGGAAGGGTGCGAAGCGTTTCGACCATGCGGGTTCTGTGAACTTGTCCCCTCTAGCTGCCACCGATAATGAGGCCGCTGAGCATGGGTTCCATACCATTAGCGACTGGCTCATCATGCCTAATGAGTATGCATCCACTTCTCAAGGGAGCAACATGCGTATTGCGGGAACCGCCCCTCAATTCTTCTTTGCGGTTGCTTCTATACTTCTGTGAGTGGATTCTCGCTATCTACTTTGTTTTACTCTGAAAGAGTGTTTGAGTTCAGGCCCAGATCGGGTTTTCACAGATCCTCATGGTTAACGACCGCTTGGAAAAGATCGTGGACGACAATGCGGTTCAAATCGTGAACCTCAAGAAGAGTGTGAGCGAAGGGCGTGAAGCATTGATGGAGGAAATGCGGCCGGAAATGGAGTGGGACTTCGCGGAGCGATTGGCTAAGAAAGAGAAGGACTTATTAGCAGAGAAGGAGACCTCCAAGAGGATTCTTGCGGAGTGAGACCGTCTTCAAGAAAGCGTCCGAAAGTCTAGTGAGCTGGAGAAGACTTTGTTGGAGGAGCAGAGGTGCTCCGTCAGGAGGTGGCCGCTCTCAGACTTGAGAAGATGACCCTACTGGGAGTCGCGAAACAGATTTGGATGCTGCTTGTGCCGATGCCAGTCCCGCCTTCTCGAAGTCTGCTGAGTTTCTTGCCATTGATAATGAGAAATACAAAGGTGTTGTTGGAAACGTGGTGGCTGCCATTCGTCACCTATTTCGGTGTGACCACCTTGAGGTGGTTTGGGACACACACCGCATCTGGGATGCGATCGGCTTCTGATCTTCCTCGACGTGAACTCGGAGGCTAATGAATCGGAGGAGGATGAGGCGGGAAATGGCGAGGTGCCGTCTGATGAAGAAGGAGAGGGAGGGGGAAGCGGGGTTTCCCCATTAGTGTGAGACAGGTTTGTGTTGTTTGTCCTTTCCGTTTTATTTTGTGGAGGATCAGCGGTCCTAAAGCTTTTGCTTTCTCTTCACCTTGTGATATTATGGGATTTTTCCAGAAATAACACTGTTTAATTTTTTTTTCCCAAAAATAGCACCTAAGTCAGAAAAATTCCAAAAATAGCACCCTTTCCCAAAAACCGCTCCCTACCAGTGCGGTTTAGGCGAAAACCGCCACCCCCACCATGCGGTTTGGTTGCAGATCGCACCCCCACCATGCGGTCTGCGTTTTTTTTTTTTTTTTGAAAATCCTAACCTAGGTGGAAACTTCATACGAACATATCTTTGTGTTCGGGTATCAGATCGTCGCGATTTTTTTTTTGATTCTGCATAAATTTTTGAGATCTTGCAAGCCGAAGACTGCCGAAGGTGGTTTGATCTCGCCTTTGTCCCAAAAAATGTCGTTTGCTACCCCGCACGAGCTTATTTCCGATTTCGTCAAACTTTGGACAACCATAACTTTGTGCTCCAAAATCCAAAAGACATGAATTTTTTTTATTTCGCATAAATTGTTAAGGAATACAACTTTTATCATAGACATAATTTCAAAATGTACGTGGATTGCTGAGAAGGGAAGGTAAGCTATTCCCAAAATCTTTTATATCCAAAATAATTCCTGTTTTGAAAATTCATTCTAGTAAAAATTGTAGTCCTTAAAAAGTTATGTGAAATAAAAAAAAATCATGTCGTTTGGATTTTGGAGCACCAAGTGTTGGTTGTCCAAAGTTTGACGAAATCGGAAAAAACCTCGTTCGGGGTAGCAAACGACATTTTTTGGGACGAAGGTGGGACCAAAGCACATTCGGCAGTCTTCAACTTGCAAGATCTCAAAAAGTTATGCGGAATCAAAAAAAAATTCGCGACGATCGGATACCCGAACACAAAGATACGTCTGTTTGAAGTTTCCACCTAGGTTAGGATTTTTCAAAAAAAAAAAAAAAACAGATCGCATGGTGGGGGTGCGATCTGCAACCAAATCGCGTGGTTGCGGTCTGTAAAACCGCCCCTGCCTGTGCGGTTTTCATCGAAAAACGCGCCCCCGGGTAGCGGTTTTGCAGAAAGGGTGCTATTTTTGGAATTTTTTGGAGTTGGGTGCTATTTTTAGATTTTTTTTTTAAAACAGTGCTATTTTTGGAAAAATCCCTGATGTTATGGTACTCGTAAGCAGTAAACCTTTGTGAGTGTGAACACTTTCTGCTGACCGCGTTGGTGCGGGCTTTACTTATTGCTTTATGTACTTTGGCCGTTCGAGACCGCTCCTTATTCTCTTCGTGACTTGCTTTATTTTATGACGGGTTATGGGTGTCCCAGGCATGTTATGCCGCAAGCGTTGTGCGAGTAATTTCTTGCAACCGCATTGGGGGCGGGTTTATGATACTGCTCGTTTCGCAATTTCCTAAACTATGTGTTTGGCGTGTTATTGACCGCGTTGGAGCGGATTTTTTCTACTTTACGCGTCCTACGTGCTTTTGTACTAGTTGATCGAGAGAGACGAGAAACAAAAGTCATTTGAGTTGAGAATTTGGCCGAAAGATGTAAGTGTATTACTTGAGCAAAAGTGGTTGCTTAGTAGCATCCAATACACTGTTACAAGTGGTGGGTATGTTGCCCTATCCACTAAAGATCCCTTTGCTTAGACAGGGAGTACCTCACACCGCGTTTGTATAGTACTTTCTCAGGTGCATGCCATTCCAAGTTTTGGAGACAGGGACACCCTCCATGGTTGCAAGGCGAAAGGTGATGTGACCTGTTTTTTCTCTAATGAGGAATGGACCTTCCCAGGTGGCGGCCAGCTTGCCATGTTCGTCCTTCTTTTGGAAGTCCCTCTTGAGAACCATGAAACGACCCGATCTTTTTAGAAAACCAAACCATAACTCAAACCGAAAACCGGTTACTACGGAACAACCAAACCACTTTTTAAAATAAACAAACTGACAATGTTTAAGAATTTCAAACAAAAGGCCCCAACACTTGGGCAATAAAAAATCCCAAAACACTTGACCCACAAATCTCGAACCTTGAACCTCCAGTTTATACTCATAATCATGATGCATAAGACAACTAACTAAATCTAACGCTAGCTCCTCGCTAAGCACCCTGCGATCTCGCCAATGCTAGTGTGGCTTCTCGCCTCGCCCTGCCTCTTCTCGAAATCCTCATCTGTTAACCCTTCCTCAACCTGGTGAGTGAGAAGGGGTCAGTCTCTTCGTTACTTCCTAAGGGTTTTCCCTAAGAAAACCCTTACTAAACACATTATTAGGGTTCTTGACTTAGACAAAAGCCGTTCTCACTTTCATCCTTTATACTTTGTTATCAAACAGTCTATAAGAGATCTCTACTCTGATCTTATCTTTAGAATTTCCTTACTTATATACTTAATCTATAGACACCAACACTAGGGACCACCGCGTTACGCCTCGCCGTCCATTGTCCCTACCCTAGTATGCCAACTGCGTTACGTCTCGCCATCCGGTTGCATACCCAAACTCCGCAATGGCACTGCGTTACGTCTCGCCGCCAGTCCATGCCCGGTCAACTACTACGTTACGTCTCACCATCCAGTAGTGACCCAACCGCCCGGGGGTTCATCATACCAATATCCATACACATTCACATACATAGCACAACGCGTGCTTCCACCCTTAAGTAGGCGGTGGGATGCCTCACACACATATCACGCATTACTCAGAATTAACTAATTAATAGCTTGAAACAAAAGGCATAAATTAAAAGACTTACGACTGAGATATTACCCCCTTTACACTCACCTCGAAAAGATGAATCCTCGATTCCTTCCTCGAAGAAACCCCTCCTTAGCCGGATTAACTTGGGGAAACCTATTAATAACAATCCATTTTCTTTGACGACTTTTCTCGATTTAAAACCCCTTTTGAATCACTAGAACATCCTCTTCTCAAAATCCAGCCCTCGAGCCTCGCTCCAAAGGTCCCTTAACCCCCTTTAAAATTTTTCTAGAAATAATCCCTTCAAAATCGACCATTTTTCCTAATTATTTTTGTCTTGAACGAATTTTTCACCTAACTTGAACCTTCTTAAAAATTATGATAATAATTTTTCTATGTCAATCATGAGCACGAGCACGGAGCACCTATACTGCAAAATTATCAAACCCTTAGAATCCCCTCGGTAAGAGTTTTATTTAATTAAAATTAACATTCGAAAAATTTCTAAAAATAGAAATACATCTTCTAAAATCCCAAAATTAAATTATAACCATCTCCTAGACAACCCTCAATTTATAAAATTTCTAAATCTAGAAAATATCACCGAAAGAGGCTCGTAACAATTTAAATATCTTAAAACACGTTTCTGGAAATTCCCAGCATTTTTAGTGACCACCCAAAATCTGTCACTAAAAGCCTGTTGCTAAAACACAGAATTGCACTCTCACAAAATATCACATAAACGATCAAACAAACTCGAAGGGATCGAGTTCCCTTACCTCTAGAACGTGCCTAGGACTAGGTTGGATGGCTCAGGACGTTGATTTCCTCGTTGATCGATGATCGAACCCTCAAACGTCACCGCTAATAAAATACGAGTTTCGGATTAGACTACCGATGAATCGAATTTAGAAAACGCGAAGAGGTTCGTGATCCTTACCTAGAAATACGAAAGGGATGGGATCGGGAAATCGGGGTCGACAGTGGAGAGCAGGCGCTGCCTTTCTTCTTCTTCTTGTTGTTCTTCTTCTTCTTTTTCCCCTCTTCTTCCTTCTCCAGTGTGCGGCTGCTACCGAAGGGTTTGGGTTTTTTTTTCCCTCTGGGACGTTGCGGCTGGGAAAGAATTAGGGTGGGGGAGAATTAATAATTTTGATGTGGGGGAGTGGAGGCACCAACCACTTTGGCCGCCCCACTAATAGACTTTTTTATTTTTTATTTAAAAAAAACTAATAATGTAATAATAATAATAATATTATTATTATTCTTAATCCGCGGTTGTAACTCTTAGCGCATAACCGTCAATCCAACCGATCACGTATTAAGGTCGAACCTAAACCCAAAGGTTGGATTGTTACATTTCCTCCACCCTTATACAAATTTCGTCCCCGAAATTTGTTTGGAAAGCATTCTTCCATCAACACCCTTCTTGTTCTTCCTTCCCACAATCATCTATTCTTACTATAACAACTTCGTTGGTACCTTTTGCTCAAATAAGTTTCCTTAGCTTGCAGCACTCGTGTAACCATAAGTGCTTCACTGCCCTTTTTACTCCCCAGCTTGATCCAAACGTGGTGAAATAAAATGCCAATTCTGCTTGTCATGTTGTTCCAATTCCCCTGGTAGTTGATGTTGAACTTAAATCCAAAATCGAGACATCACAAACCATGTCTCCCTCTTCGAGAGGTCGTGGTTTAACCTTTTTGTTGTAGGAGGCGACTACCTTGGCTTTCTCGTTCATGATGCGTTCCATGGCCGCGTCGCGTCGTGACTCTACCATGTCCAGCTGTTCCAACAACTTCTTGTGGTTGCTCTCTGGGCGATATGCTTGGACACGGAGGGAGGGTAGGTTCATCTCTTTTGGGGCGACCGCTTTAGAGCGATAAGTTAGAGCGAAAGGTGTTTCGCCCGTGGCTGTTTTGTGGGTTGTGCGATGCGCTCATAAGATGTGCGGAAGCTCAGTCGTCAATGCCCCTATGGCGTCTCGGAGACGCTTCTTCAGTCCTTGGAGTATCATCTTGTTGGATGCTTCGGCCTGGCCATTGGTTTGTGGGTATGCCACTGATGCCATGGTACACGTGATGCGGTTTCTGGCGCAGAAATTCTCAAATGGCCTGCAGTCGAATTGCGTGCCATGATCCTTGATGATCGAATGCAGGATGCCGAAACGGATCATGATGTTGTTGCATACAAACTTTTGGACCCTGGCACTTGTGATTGTCTCGAGCGGTTCCGCTTCAATCCATTTGGTGAAGTAATCGACTGCCACCACTAAGTATTTCTTCCCAAGAGGGGCCGTGGGAAAGGGTCCCAAGATGTCAAGGCCCCATCTGGCGAACGGCCAAGGACCGAACACGCTTTGTATCTCGGAGCTAGGAAGGTGGTGTTTGGTGGCATGCATGACATTTCAGGACGACGTCTGACACGTCTTTCTTAATCGTTGGCCAGTAGCAGCCCTGCAAGAGAATCGTCCTTTCGAATGACCGGGGATCATCGTGTGTAGGACACGTCCCTTGGTGAATCGCACTTAGGGTCCATCGCGCTTCTTCTAAACCTAGGCAGTTTAGGTATGCCCCTGAGAATGACCTCCTGCATAATTGGCCATCCACCATTGAGTATCGGACAACCCTTTGCTTGAGCGCTTTCTGCTCTACTCGATGTTGCAGAGCGATGTCATGCTCTAGGTATTGGATCAAGGGCGTCCTCTAGTCGATGACTCCTTCGATATTCATGATTTCCTCATGTGACTCGCTCTCTTTCGTGACAGTGACGTGTCGATTCCCTTCGAAATCCATAGTGGTTCCAAGTGTTTAATTGTGCTAGGGCGCTTCTTACTTTGGTGGCTAGGATTGCTAACGCTTCGTCCTTGATTTCGAACGCTTCCTGCACCTGTTTGACCACCAGGAGGGAGTCATATAATATGTTTGTACATCAAAAGCACCCAAGTTGGAGAGTATTCGGAGCCCGTTGATGAGGGCTTAGTATTCAGCGACATTGTTGGTTATAATGTCTTTGAACCTTAGCGAGATTTCATGGACAACTCCGTCTGGCGACTCTATGACTATCCCTGCCCCTGAGGCGGTCTTGCATGTGACTCCGTCGTTGAAGAGACGCCAGACCTGATTGCGATCCTCTGAGGGAGTAGTTTCGAGGGAGAATCCTTCAGTAATGAAATCTGCGAGGACTTGGTTCCTTGATGGCCAGTCGTGGGGCGTACTCGATGTCATATTCGCTGAGCTCGATTGCCCACTTGGTCAGTCAACCTGAGGCGTCCATACCTCGAATAATGCTTTTGAGTGGGAGGTGGGATAGCACTGTGATAGGGTGCTCTTGGAAGTACGACCTTAATTTTCTGGTCGCGGAGGCCACGACAAGGACTGCCTTTTCAACAAGCATATACCTTGTTTCTGCTGGAAAAAGCGCTTTGCTCACATAGTAGACAGGTTGCTCGGAGCCATCTTGCGCCCTTCTCACCAGGACTGAGCTTACGGCCTGTTCTTAGACCACCAGGTAGAGATAAAGTCGCTCCCAGTTGACAGGGGCGCTCAAAAATGGTGGGGAGCTAAGTTGGTTTGTTAGCAATGCAAAAGCTTTGTTGCATTTGGGGCTCCACTGGAGTCTTGATGCCAACTTTCTTAGCATTTGGAAGAATGATGAGCATTTGTCTGCGGACCGCGAGATGAATTTCCTGAGTGCGGTCATTTTGCTGTTGAACGATTGGATCTCTTTGATTGTCTCGGCTTTAAGCTGCGTATGGCCTCGATTTTCTTTGTGTTGGCCTCTATCCCCCTCTTTGTGATCATGAAGCCAAGGGACTTTCCCGCTTCAGCTCCCAAGACGCACTTGAGTGGGTTGAGTCTTAGGTTTCTCCATCGCAGAGTCTCGAAGTCTCTCGTAAGTAAGATAGATGGTCGCTAGCCTTCTTGCTTTTGACTAGAACTTCATCCACGTATGCCTCCACATTTCTTCCCATTTGGTCTTTGAAGACTGTATCGACCATCCTTTGGTAGTTCGCTCTTGCATTCTTCAAGCCGAAAGGCATTACGACGTAGCAGAAGTTACCCACGGGAGTGGTGAACGCGGTTAGCTCTTGGTCTCCTTCCGCCATTCTGATTTGGTGGTACCTCGAAAACATATCCAAGAAACTGAGTGCTTCCTGATTGGCAGTTCTGATGGAGATGACCAAGGGGTCTTCCGTGCTTTCTTCGTCGGTCAACTCGGACGGCAAGAAAGTGACGTCGGTAGGAATCCTACGCTGGACGTTGAGGCAATGGGATATGCGGTCTCCATCTGAACTTGGTCGCTCTCTACCTCCCGCGATGGTTATGATTTCCATTCCGTCATCGTCGTTGCACGGGGCTCTGTAGGTGGGAGACTATCTTTGGGGAGAGATGACTTTGTTCCTAGAGGGGGATCTTGACCTCTCCTTTATTGGCCTTCTTGTTTTATCCTATACGAGGCTTTGGGACCCTTCCCGTGTCTCTTGGGAATGGTGCCTATACGGACGCCGTGTCTCCAAGCAGCTTCGAAGGTCTCCCGAGGCCAGATATCTGAGGCTTGCTTTGAAATCGCTACATTCAGCGATGTCATGGGTAGTGATTTGATGTCAGTAGCACCATTTCTTTCCTTCTTGAGGTTCCTGGCCGGAGGATGCCTCGTATTTCCTCTCGCCTTTTCTTCTTTCTCTTCCTCGTTCCGGATCAGTGGAATACACTTCCCTTTGTCTTCAGACTCCATGTACCTGTTTCGGTACGCCTTTCGCTCCGGAGAGCGCCTCCCACATCGGGCGTCCCCACGTTCATGGGCGTCGCCCCGATGGCGTCCTTGATGGCTTCGATTGTCGTTAGCCAATGCTTCCTCGAGCAAGATCGATTGTCGCACCAATAGATTTAAGTCGGACCAGGACGTAAACGTGGCTTCCTTCTTTATCAGGGTCCTCTTGAGCTCAATGCTGGTCGTGGATATTATGAGGTTGCCGACGGCTACGACCGAGGAGATGCCTTGTATCTCGCATGCGATCGCGTTCCATCGGTCGTAGAACTCCTCGAGCGATTCTTCCTTCCTTTGTCTGAAATTTATGAGGGCTCAGACGGTGAGTTTGCGACGTCGTTAGGATGCGAATTTTGTGGAGAAAAGCATCACAAATTGCTCGAAGTTCTCGATTATCCCTTCAGGGAGGGAGGTGTACCATGTTCGCCATTGACCGCTAAAGGTGACTGGGAACGCCCGGCACTAATCTGAGTCCGACGTGTTGATGAGTTGCATCTTTAGCATGAAATCACAAAGATGGTTCGCGGGATCTGGAGTCCCGCTGTACGCGGGGAGTCCTAAGGAGGAGAAGTTAGGCGAAATCGTGGTCTTGAATAGTTCTCTCGGTAGAGGATTTTGGAGAACGTTCGGGCTTTTGTGCTTCCCGTAGGTCGACCGCAGATGTTCCTCGAGGAAGCTGAGGTCCACGTTGTCCGCCTCCAGTCCCCCGCCTTCTGTCTGAGTAGGGCTGTCAAGGATGTGGACGACCTTCTGCTTCTCCTCACGCGTTCTTCCCCTTGAACCCTCGGCGGGGTCTTCCTTTGTTTTCAAGAGTTGGAGGCTTTGGGAGAGGTTGTCTTGCATGCTCGCGATTTGCAAACCTTGGCTTTTGACAACCTCCTCGAGTTCGGCTTCATTTTCGACTCTCGGCGACAGACCTCGGAGGTTGTTGTTCTCGCTCATCCCTTTGAGATGAGTTTCAAAGTCGTCTCAAATATTTTCCGCAGCGAAGTCGTGAGGCCCCACGGTGGGCGCCAAAATGTTTGTGCCTGTATCGTACCTGATAGACCGTTAATTACACATGTTTTTACCCATGTTCTTACACCGTTTGAGATGTGATTTCTCGTGGTTTAGACCGATTTCACGCTAGGTTGTGCTTGTTTGTGATGTTTCAGGTCCTAGTACGTGAATGAAGGCTTAGGAGCGAGTCTGGGGTCGATTGGACGAAGAACGGACGAATGGCGAGGTTTTTGGGGAGCTGCACGGGCAGACCAGGGAGGCTGCACGGCCGTGCACGTGAGCAATATGGTCGTGCGCCTTATGCCGAGGACACGCACGGGCAACCCCTGAAGCTCGCACGGCCGTGCACCCTGGCCGTGCGAGAGGGCTGAAGTTCGACTAAATGACACGCTGCGTTTTGAGTTGCACGGCCATAATGGTGATATGCACGGCCGTGCACCCTGGCCGTGCGAGTCGGGATTTCCTGGTTTTAAGCCAAATTCCGAACCAAAGAAGAGGGAGCTGGGTTTTGGATCCCAAACACCCAAGGGACGAACCAAAGAGAGAGAGGGCGATTTGAGGGCATTCTTGGAGTGGAGTTGGGGGATTTCTTCGCCTTGGAAGCTCGAGGAACAAGCCCGGACTTGAAGACTGATCATCTGAAGATTCTTACTGCAGTCTCTCTCTTCTCTATGGAGTAACTTCCCTTCACTTAGGTTTTGAGGAACCCTAGCTATGTTTGTTTGATTGGATGATTGTATGAGTACTCTGACTGGAAAATCTTGAGTTCATATTCAATCTATGCATGTTTTCATGATTCAATTCTGCTTTAGTCGAGATTATTGATTCTGCTTTGATTCTATGAGAGGGAATACCTGATTAGGTCAATAGAGCACCATAGATTGATAGTAGTGGATCGATTGCTTTAGTCGAGGGTTGATTCACTGCTTTGTATCGATTGAGAACCTCTTTCGATAGAGGGAGTCTAGTTCAGAACGCCTTGATCAGTTGTTCTAGAGAAGGATACGTCCCTCTAGGCAATTGACTCAAGAGGGCCTTGTTCCTTTAGTCGAGACTCAAGGTCTAGTCAAGGATTCTCCGCATTGTGAATGAAAGTGAAACAGGTTAGAGATCATCAATCGTTAATCTGGCTAGTGGCTAGGGGGAATCATACCTAAGTGAGTTCCCAACCTGTAATTAGATTAACTTAACTGTAGTTTGCTAGAGTAGTTTTAGTTCTTTCATCTTGATCTGGTTTGCTAAATAATAAACTGAAGCTGAGTAATAGTAACTCTAGAGACCCGTGGATTCTATATTTATCACTTGAGCCACTATACTGCAGTCCCTTCCATTGGTTACACTTGGCCATTGTTAGGTGTTGTGTCATAGCGAGTCAGTACCAGGCGGTTTTTGAGGCTTCACGGTTCTTGTGCGTCCTTTGATGGTTGAGGGCGGTCTCCGAAACCTTGCAAGAAAGGTCGGGGAATCCTGGGACCTCCTCCGATGCCAAAGTTAGAGACAGAAGTGAGAGAGTGGATAGGTTGAAGTTACCATAAATGTAGCCCATCAGTGGGTATTTATACTTGCTGTATGATGAGGACATCAATGGGCCAGTCACACGTGCTAAGGCAAGGACATTGAAGGAGAAGCTTGCGACATATTTGGAGAGCTACTTTGGAGCCATGGATGTGGAACTATTTCGAGGGAAGCCATATATGATGATTCGAGTGGAGGAAGAAGGAGGAAGTTCCGAAGAGAAGGCAGATTGCAAGAAGCAGCCTTAACGGGTTTGCTTAACGAGTCTAGCCTTAAAGGGTTTACTTAACGGGTCTAGGCTTAACGGTTTGGGCTTAACGGGTTTGCTGGGCTGTTTTCAAGTTTCCTTGTTTAAAATTCTGTTTATGATTGTTTTTCCATGTTGGAGTCGGATTTGGGTTGTACTTTGCCTATTTAAAGGGCTGAACACGTTGGTTTTGCCCTTAGACGATTATTATTGAATTTCAGAGGCTAAAGCTGAGTTCCC